CCTCTCTCTCTCTCCCCCTCTCTCTCTTTCTTTTTATATTTTCAGTAAATTATTTTGGTGATGAATATCAAAATTCGAGGCTTACCGCCACAAGAAATGTCGCCTTAAGAAAGAAAATTGAAAAAAAAACAACTAAAACTGTCACACTTGTTCAGTGTATGACTTAAATCTCGACCACTATTCAGTTTACCGAAGTCATACACCATTTTCATCAGAGAACAAAAAATTAACGGTTTTTGAGAGCAGTGTAGTGTGTGAAAAAATAAAGTTAATGTATCGTTTCGTAGAAGTTCTTTAATTTTTAATGTGATAATTTCGATAAAGCACATAGTGTCAAGGTTGACTGGTTTAGAGGTTTTGTACAACATTCTTAGATTCCTAGGCTGAAAGTTCTTCAAGTTGGGGAGGACTACTGGAGCGCCAGATGTGATGCCAATCGGAAAAGGCCTAAGGGCGTATTCTGAAGGCCGATGAGCGTTCTACCTCCGCGGCCGCGTCCACTCTCTCTGTTTTAATGGACCCATTCAGAGCCGTGACCTGAATTTTCTGTCGGTTAGAGCAGACAGGACGAACATGTGATGTAGAAATATTTAAGGCTGAACTGACGGAGCTTCATGCAACATTTTGCGAAATCTAATTACAAACTTTTGACAGATATTTAATCTCAATGATATGTTAAAGATCCTTTTACCAATTATGACAGACAATAGACCTTTTTCATAATTTGTATATTAAATATAAAATGGGATCTCTGAACATTTGAAACTGCCAAAAAATTAACTATCAACCACATTCAGCGTAATTAATGTTAATTTAGAGAGGAGTTCAAGGTATCTTGCCCACTCCCTTGCTAATCCCCACTCCTAGGTCCAGACAGCCATATTCTGAGCTCTATAAGGCATCGATTCCTGTCGTATTGCCCGCGTAGTATTCGGTACAATCGCTCCGCACACACTGGACAGCTAATAAACGGGTTGTTGCACATAGCAAGGGAAGTTGAAGGTGTTATAAATGTAAAATTCTCATCTACTGTCATACGTTAACTTTAAATATCAACTCAACCGACGCATTTCATGAATCCACTCTGTATTAAATGCAGACATTAAACATTCTTTAATATCTTGTTCACTTCGACGTGGCCCCCTCTACAGGCTAGAACATTCAAAAATGAAGGAAGAATTCGGTGTTGAGAGGAAAACGCACCGTAGTCAACACAATGTTGACTGCGTGTTGACCACAATTCAATTCGTCTAATCTATATTTATTGGTCGACAATGCCCCTCCAAAATCACCCCTGATGTTACATTGTTTGGTTTTTAATTTGGAAAACAAACTAAGCCATTAATTATGGATTAGCAAAACGAATGTCAAGAAAATCACATGTAAGCTCTTTGCTCTATATTTGTGCATGAGCTCAACGTGTTGGAGCTTAAGGCGCAGCTTTAATGGGGGAGAGCAGAGGTCTAAAAAATAATTCTGATTCGAATAACTTTGATTGTAATATAATAAAATATTGATTCATCTGACTTAATAATGGAAGCATAAAATATGTTAATGAATTATTTTCTTTTTTCATTTTCAAACAAGTTGTTCAGAAGTTTCGACTGACTTAAGTCATTTATTGCATTTGTCGAATCGTGACGGCGGCATAAACCATTACGTACTGCTGATCTACATCCGGGTTTCTTGCGTCCACTGACAGCACTTTGGATGAATGCGAGAATAATGAGATGGTGACACGTGGAATTATGTTCTTACATAATTATGATAATGGAGATGTGATGAAAGTTTAGACAGGGGAAACTGAAGAATTCATTAAAAAACCTACTGGGAAACGGGTTTGTTCACCATTATTTCTACTTGGAATGTTCTGGATTTGAATCTTGCTATCCAGAGATGAACGGTATAGCCACTATGCCACAGATCGATCTCTGTCGTAGGAATTAAATTTAGGATTGCTTCAAACTAACTTGTCTGCGTTCTACTATGACGCGTCATGCATGGATACAATCTTACTGGACTAGTAGCACAAATAAACTAGATGTTTTGATTCAACAATGTTTAAAGATTTTGTTTTAGGGCTGATAATGCAAATTTTGATACACTCATTATTTAGTAGTATGAGTTTTTGCTTTGTATCCACATTTCCAAGGCAATTCGTAAAAGATACTCCTTGAAACCAATCTCTCAATTTTAGCATTGCACTTCAGAGAGCAAAACCGTCCAATGTTCATCAAACTGTGAAAAATGTCTTTCATGTGTCTGATAACCCAACGTTTAAATGTTAAAATCATGGAAAATTATGACCTTTTGTGAACAACTCGACTGACACACTGAATGGTGGTTCTATCTCCCTTCCACTTTGCTGCTCTTTTGGCGGGAGCGGAGACATAATTGAATATTATCTTTTATTAATACAATGAAAGATAATTACTCCGTTTTTATTCTTTCAAAATGTTTAGCTTGAATTTTACTCAACCCTGCTTTTAAAGCAGGTCGACTGACAGTTTTTCAATTCCAAATTCAAGAAATGGGTTTCTTTTCTCGTTTAAAATAGTTACATAGTTGGCAAGGCATCGGCAAAATTAACTTACGTTAACATAACCTATTGTAGTCTGAAATATTTTTTAAAATTCAGTGGTTGATCACTTTTGTTAATTTTTTCGTTTACCTCCAGTTCTATGAGTAATTCAACTTTTGGTGAATATTGTAAATGAGCGATTTCAGCTGTTTCTAAATTTCCATTTTGTCGTTTCTGCTGTCTGATTTTCCATTCCTCAGCTCATTTCTTCAGCGGACGCTGCCGGTGCTTGTTCATGAATATTCAAAGGCACATGCTCGTTTTATGTTCGTCCCTTCAGTGCTTTACGGCGTGTTAGCAAAATGCTAGAAGTACAACAGGAGAAGCATCTTAGATGCAAAGGAGATCTCAACTTGTATGCCAAGAGAATTTATACTTTTGCAACATCACTTGGCTCTGGTATTCGTTGCAGGGTCACCCTTTCGTTGCAACACACGTTCATGTTGAGCAGTGGCGTCGCTTCTGCCAGTCCGGCCGGTGCAATTAGATGGTGTTATGCAGTAACAGACAAACCCGCAAAATTTTAAAACTCCATGTTACAGATTATTTGTATTTTGTGAACATGATACTTACTGTACAATACAAACATTTCCCAACCTTTATTTGACAAACTTTGCCACCAATGATTAAAGAAAGGAAACATTTAACACGGTATTGCCTTAGAGAAAAAATGTAAATGAGTCGTTTTCTCTAAACACATTCAACGAGGGCTGGTGTCTATGTGCAGGTTTTCTGTCCGGTGGTGAACAGTCGGTGTACTGAAGAGCGATTTACTTGCGGTCTGCTACACATTAACAGCGAGTCGTCGTTCAGACAATGGAGGACCTTCCACTCCCAATATCCGTTTGAACAATGATATCTCAGGGTCTCTACTTCGAATAACAAGGGTAAAGAGCGCACCCACACAATTTGTTTATATCCTCCTTTTACTATACCGAAATGTATTACTTCATATTGCATGAGTGTTGTTCTCAGTGTGACGGGCAGTCAGATGTTTTGAAAAATATATTGTTCAGGTAGCAAAGACCCTGAAATGATTTTTAACTACATTGTGTAAACGAGGAAGGGCTTAAATGTAGTATACGGTACAACCTAAGGAAGTCGTTTAAACCGGCACTTCGCGCCGTTCCGGCTTTAACTAGGCAGTTAGAATTCTGGAGGCTTTCTAGAAAAGTGATGTCTTATAAAAGTGAATTGGTAATTATGCATTCGATAGACTCAAGGATGTTTATAGAGAACGCGAGGGCCGAAGGCCCGAGTCTCGCCGTGACTTGGATCCGGGCGAGCGAATTGAGAAAACATGCCTTTGAAAGTAAATTGGCGTTACATCGCGGCGGGGACAAAGTATATGAAGTGCGAACCATGAAAATCGCATATCCGTAAGTTTTATTCATTTCTATTAGAGCACGTACAGCCATTAGGGATTAAGCCCCGCCGCCACGCTTCTCTAAGGGTGTACCGCACACTAAATTTTAACCCGAGGAAGTTATCCAATATGTAGTACATGAGCAAGAAAAATACGCTTTTTCAGTATCCCAAATCCACAAAGCGATCTTTTCGGGCGAAAAATCGACATTTCTTTCGGCAGCATTTCATTATTTCCTATACACTACATACACGATAAAGAAAGTAAATATCGGCAAGTGAATGATTCTGTGTGCACGGGGTATCATTTTGTGAATGTTCAAAACGCTTCCATTATTTTGTAGTTTTGGCGTAGTTAAAAACGTGATAATCTCGTACATATTAAGCACAAATAACAATTTTAATTCCTACAAAACGTAGCATATAAAAGAAAAATAAACTATACCATCCATCAAATTAATTCACACCTCCAAAAGCTTGAGTCATTTTTAAATTCCAGGCCGATGTGCAACAGTTGCGAGCTCATCACAGGCCCCAACCTCACCCTCCTTATTGAACATTAGATTGTCAAACCATTGAGTCTTACCGTGGTTGCCTAATATTTTATAACTCTTCTAAGGATGTTTGTCTTTAGAAGTCATAAATATACGTCGCGTTCCACATATTTAATGGAATTATTTCTTGTCAAATATGAATTTCCTGTAAAATTAACTAAGGTATATACTACTTATAAGTAGTACATAAATGTATGAAAACATGCATTTCCAGATTCAATCATCCCCTCAAAAATGTTTTGTTGAACTTATTCCTATCATAGTAAACATGTTCATACAATACCTAACAATGCCTTATTTGTAAGTAATTGAGTTTCAACTGACAATGTCACATTAGGGTTGTTGAGAAGCATATTCATATTACTCTCACTGAAAGTTTCTCATTTGCATTAACATTTAGAACACACATTCATTCTACTATCACTGAAAGTTTCAGTTCATAAATCAGTATTCACTGACGATTCCCTCACGCTTGTAAATAAAATAAAAACTTGTTTTACCTCACTATTTTGGAAGTCCATATGACACAGCACAAGGCAAAGTGGCTGACGAAAAGTTGCATTCACTTCAGTCCACATTTTCGCTGCAATGAGACTCCCAGTCCACGTCCTCAACGACTTCGAATTCGTGGAAGTGTGCTCTTTAATTTCATAAATATATCATGAAACACATTTACTGTTTATTAGTAGCAACATAGGATACTGCACACACTGATTCGACATAACAGTTGACGACTGCTTATAAATCACAGCTCTCCTATCTTTGTTTAAAAACTGCACTATTTACATAGGAATGAACTATCGCCATCTAATTCCCCAATTGGCTCTCACGTTCACTACTTCTGATTCTCGCGAAGTTTTCCTGACGCGAGCTATAGACGTTCTTAGGCGTCACGAAGCGCCGTTTTTAAACTCCGAGTGGTCGGATCAAACTATAGTCCTACTTTGCTGAAAATGGCAAAATTGATCTGATGTCCGCTTGCTGCCATCTGCTTCATGGTCAATAGACCATGAAGCAAATATCTGCATTAACGATCAATTTTCGCCAGACTCACTGATGAGCTCTTAAAACTTCATTCATCTTATGCTATATATCCTCTCCATTATGTATCTGTCAATCTTCGAATTTCTAACCCTAAGCTCCTTCTCATTCAATCTCGTTAATTTCCATTTTCCAATATTCTAATGGAGTCCAATATTCAATTGGAGTCCAAGAAACTAATAATGACACGTAAGTAAATCTTGAAAACATTTTTAAACTACTGTGTTCTTGTCTTCATTATGATCCGACATTCTATTTCCTAGAAAATCTCAAAGAGAATGCCAAGTTGTAATTTTTCTTCCAGACAGTAGGTGGAGCAGAAGTAATTGTGCTTATCATTAAATACAATTTATACAAGATATTAATAAATTATAGTTAAATGGCAGCAGTAATTAAATTATTAACGATATTTAATACTGAGTTATTACTGCAAGTGATAAGCCACTCATTATTTTACATCCTACAAAAGGATGAAAAATAACATCCATTTTATATGCAGTGTTTTAAAGTGCAACTACCACTAGAATGCAACCTTATATCTAGTGCTTGTGCTACCACTTCTATACTGAAACAATACACAAAAGAAATTAAACTAATGCACCAGACTAAATTTAAAACAACAATAAATTGTTTCAGAAGGGAAAAATTTGCCAAGTTCATCAGCAAATACATTAAAATGACCCTCTAGCCCTTAAAATGTATTTCTCAATACAATTTTTCTCTTAAAATGAGATGAAATATCAGATAGAAACTAGGTATCTCAAGCATCAGAACACAATAACACAATGAAGTAAAACCAAGTGTATTTTTATTTCTGTTGTAAATGTAACATTTGTCTGCATTTTTACAAAAATGATGCAACATTTCTCTGATAAAACCAGCATAAATACCATGGTGTACAAGTTGTAACTAAAGAACAATTAAATTAGGCTCCAGGGTCAAAAATATTCAAAGTAAAGCAATTAATTAAAATGAAGTAGGTTTCAAAATGAACTATTCTTAAAACTAAAACAATTAAATATTAACTAAACTATTCTTAAAACAAACTATTAACTATATAATTAATGATAACTACCTAACTAATTTACTGTAACCTACTTCTTTTCAATGTTGTGATCCTCACACAGAACCATTAACTGCATACTTGCGCAGCGACAGTTTTATTAAGTTTTGTATCTCAGAGCAATGCTCTTTACAGCCAAACAATTGAAAATCTGAATTTTTACAATAATTTTAAAGTTCCTCAAGAAGTTTTGGTGTATGTCCTTTGATTACTAAAAATTTGAAAATTTTCAAAGATATCTCCCAGAATGTTTTAATAACAATATCCTTTGGTTTGGAACATATACATACAGAATTACTTCTCTCACGAGGAGGAGTATGGTGGCAATAGATAAAGGACACGAAACAAGAATGGCAGGACTTAAGATTGGGAATTTTGTTAAGAAATTTACTGGTTTTCCTTGTAGCCTCATCAGCTATTAGAGGATTGTCTACGGGATCTGAAGGCATTGTAGCAATCCAGGCACATGTTGTCTTCGCTTCCTCCCCCCCCTCCCTCCCCACCTTCTAGAAAGGTGAATTGTCAAGAACATCACAGACATGAGTGTCTGTTGCTCATACACTCCCAATCTTGCTCACAAATTCACACAAATTAGACAGAACATCTGCATCAACTTTCTTGCAGCTAAATTTACCATTGGCACCAATCACCCCATTCAAAATACATGATTTCAAAGCCAAATCAAACTGCAAACTTGTAGGGTAGTTGTTGTGAATATCACGCTGCCTCACAATACCAAAGAGATTCTCAAGTGGATCTTAGTTGAGATGTTGATTGCCAATGGTGTCACTCCCAAGTCTCCAAGCATTCTCCACAATGTGGAAACAGCATCGATATTTCGACACCATGCCTCCTTCACCTTAGTGTCAGCAAACTAGCCACTGCATCAACATCAAACTGCAATGAATCCAGTTTCCTTTTCATACTCTGCCAATACTGAGATGTGTTACTCAGTGGTCTTCTATAAAAGTGAGTGTCACCAAATTTCAAACCGTTAAAAGAATCAAAGAGATGAGTGATGTTATTAATAAATTCAGCCAAATACTTGGCCTCTTCCACACTACATTTATATAGTGCGTTAGAAACAGTTACACTCAAAACCTGAGCAACTAACTTCTCTTTCATTTTCCTTTTTGGATAAATATGTTCATTTGTGATATTTCCCATGTTCTTATCAAATTATTTTTTTTGCAATTCAAAAAGGTCCACTAAAAATTGCCAGCTAGTTTCTTCAACTTCTACACTATCTGTTTTAAAAATAATTTTGTTGTCTAAAAGAGCATTTCTTGTTGCTTTGAGAACATGAAGAGAATCAGCAATTACAACAATTTTACAATTATTAATTTTTAAAATTAGTTTATCCCAATTGCAGGATTTTAAGGTTTCTTAAAGTTTTCAAGCAGCGAATGTTAGTTGGTGACTGGTCACTCACAAGTGCCACAATATTAAAACCAATTCTTTGTAAAGCACCTGTGACATCCATAATTATCTTTTCTAAATCTGTGGTCAAAATTTTACCGTGAGACAAATAGTACACTAAGGGTTATTTCCAATTGTCAATGAGACCACGAACCATAAAAACCAAAGCATGGTCTGCGTACTGACACCTACATTGGGAACCTTAATCTTTGTAGCCAAATATACAGGTTCTGGACAGAGTAAATGTTAAACTCTTTTGAATTGACAATTAATCAAAAATGAGAGAACACATTTTTGAATTTGGAGTCATACATTTTAATTGATCATCAAAATGCTGAAGAAAAACATCATCGAGGCCAACATGAAAAGAAATTTTATTGGAAAGTTGAAGAAGAGTATCAGGAGAAGGAAGTAACATGAACTTCCTGAGGAGTGTATATCCCTGAAGACTATGGTTGCGAAGGGCTAAGCAAATTACCTTCACTTCTGTAGACCATCTATGACCAACAGGAGATTTTGATTTCTTGCTTAGCTGAATCTTCAGGAGGCCATAAAACAGGGGCAAAATATGTTCCCCAATTTCATCTGCAAGGCTTTTCCATTCCTTCATTCTGCGAGTAGACAGTACTTTGTCCTGAAGGAACTTCACACGCTCTTGCAGATGTTTCATTTTTGATTCGTGCTCCTGAAGGTCACAATACATCAGATGCTTACGAGGGGTGAGATCCTTCACATGAGTTGCACCAATGGATTTAAGAATCCCATCACTTTGTAAGTGAGACTGAGAACTTGGGGTTGATGGTTCTGTCTGAGGGTCATGAACTTGCCACTTCTCAGATGGTGTTGTGACATCAGGAGAGGGAGAAGTGGCCCATTTTCCTGATGTGCTGGATGCCACTATCTTTTCCTCACCTTCCAAGACAGGGACAGATGGATCAGCAAGAGCTGTTGAACAGTGAGAGTAAAAATTCATTTTCATTTAAAAATATACAAATCATAAATCTTACTTCAAATAACGTATCCTGATATTTGTGGGACTGAAGTAATGGACCTGCAAGTTTGGATGTACACAAACTTGCAGAACCTCCTATAAAATAAATCAACATTTTAATATTATCTCAATGAAAGAATTCATACCAAATGTGGTATGTGGTTTAAAAGCACGAACATAATTGAGAGCGATTTGTAGTACATCATAAAGACTACAATTTTTAATGTCGTAACCTGTGATTTTCTGTATTTTTTAAAGATTAAATGAAAATATACTCACGTAAACACAGAACAGCACAATATCGCAGTCTCCTTTTGGGGGCACGGATCCTTTCGCCATCTAGGATCCCTGCAAATTCCCTCCATTTTTGCAGGACAAAGGGCCTTGTAATTTCGGAAGGGAATCTGTTTGAACGAGATCAGTTCCATTCGTTTTTCGATGGATTTGAAGCTCACGCGGCAAACAACAGCTAGACATCTGGAAACAAACAGAAGACATCATGCTCTACATTATATAATAAATTGACGAATTTTCATGTGTATTAGGATTTAATGATAATTATTTAATAATAACGTTAAATATTTAATAACAACACCGAAGTTTTGCCTCTTAATAGCTCAATATCCAGGAACAAAAAAATTGCAAGTGTTGGCCGAGGTCACAGACCGTCAAGGACACAACATCAAAAAAAGCTGACCTTGTCCTGCCTTGTCCCTCAAAAAATCGTCGTCCTCCGCAGACTTCAATGTCTTCGGTGACACTCGTTTATTCTCGGTCGCAATCGTGTCCTTCGAATTCACTTTCCCGATACACTGCGACTGCAGGGCCTCCGGACAGGCAGAACCTCAACTGATCCTTACCGAGAACGCATGCCAGATGCCCAGTCCTATTAAGCTAGAAGCTCCTGAGCACCACGTATCTTGAGACACTTTTCTATATATTTGTTTTATTACGAGTACGAGTGAATGTATTTGTTGAGATGTTTCGGAGAGAAAGTTCGTGCAGGATGGGAATTATCTGATGGTGACGGACGATTCTTTTAATTCATTAATTTTTACTACGCTCTATCTGGACAGCTGAAATTGAATACCCCAGTGTCAGTTGGGACAATTTAAAATTTAAGTTAGTAGTATCTCAGTTGACGTAAGTGAAGTTTTGTGAGAAAGAGAAGATGCGAGTGACTTGCGATAGTGGACAATTATTTTTATTTTTAGATTCTTTACTTTTACTTGTATCTACCTGATCACTTTAGAGTGAATATCCACATTATCATATCAGTTGTGAGTTTGATATAGCATGAGGTGCATATGCGCCAAGTTGTGTGGCAAGGAAAGCGTGAGTGGCTGATTGAAGCGGACGATTCTTTGATTTGTTTTATCTTCACCTCATTGGAACTGCCTATTTGATAGTTTATGTTTCAATGTTTTTGAAGGATGAGTTCATTGCATCACAGTGGCATCAGTGCTCTGTTGTTCGGCAAGGAAGGTGTGAGGGAATAGTGGCTGCGGACGTTTTTTTTATTTTCACCATTCTTTGTCAGATCGTCTGAGACTTTATACTGGAAAGTATTTCCGGACAATTGTTCGTTAATGTTTCTTCTGCTATGGAATTGCTGTTAGGTTCGGCTAAATGGGAACGACGCGTGACCGATAGCAGCAGACGATTCTTTTTTTCTGTTGTTTTTCTTCACCACTCTGTAACTGGTCATCTAAGAGTGTATGTATACCTCAAAATGCCTTGACGCGTGAGTTTGCTGTAGCACGGCGTGGGGTCCATGCTGTGCGTGTGCGTGCAGGGAGGGGTGCGTGCAGGCGGGCGATCGGCTGGTGGCGGCGGACGGCACGTCGCTGCTGGGCGCGACGCTGGCGGAGGCGCTGGCACTGCTGCGGCGCGACGGGCCCGCGCTGCTCACCCTGGAGTACGACGTGAGCGTGCTGGCGGCCGTGCGCCAGGCGGCGGGCCCGCTGCTCGTGGAGGTGGCGCTGCCGCCGGGCCGCGACCTGGGCCTGACGCTGGCGGCCGGCGACGCGGGCCGCGTGCTCGTGGGCGCCGTGCGCCCCGCCAGCGTCGCCGAACGGTGAGCTCCCCCTCCGCCACACAACAAGATACTGGAATGCGTTTCATAACTCATTGTTCGAATATACTAAAGAGAAAACGCTGAAGGATAAGAGATTATAAAATATTTATCATGACACCTTCAAGTCGATGATAAAACTATATTTTATTCAACTCGTAGTTAAAGATTCGTGATTGGTAAAAGCGTGTAGGAAAGGTCCAGAAAAAAACTTAAAAAGAAAAATTAAAATAGATTAGAATAGGATTCAATTGTATGAATTAGATATTGTAGACAACTTTGAATTCTTTGGGTCAGATATTACTCAAAAACCTGTATACACTTGTGCTTTTTATGAAAGAATACTAGGTAATTTCCTAGTATTCTTCTAAGATATTAGCTATAGTAATTTTAACAAACATTAGTTTACAAAGTATCCCGACACTCCCGAGATACTCCTCTTGATCGACGTCATAGAGATTCACCATTTCATCGACACATGCAGAGATCCTCCGCTGGATTGACGTGCACGAAAATCCTCCAATTCTGCATCTTGCGCGGAAAACCTACACTTAACTACGATCATTCACTTCGGCTTGTGCGGATATTCTTTCGATTGATTGTTAAATCCTCCACTTGATCGACTTCCTTGAGATCCTTGTACTGATCGGCATGCACGGAGATCTTTGACTTGATCTCGATATTCTTGAGATCCTCCTTTGATCTAGACCTTCCTGAGATCCACTTCATCTCCCTTGTTTTGAGATATTCCACTTGATGTCGACCTTGAAATTCCCACATAATCTTCACTTACTCGAAGTCCTTAATTTGATCGACTTGTTAGAGATTTGCTCGAAAACCTCTTTATCGATTTACTCGATAAGTAAGATAAAAAATCTTACTTTATCGATTTACCCTTCTGTTTAATGGATTTACTGGACATTCTCTACTTCATTTGCTCAAGATTGTATACATGATTGACATGTTTCAAACCATGACAAATAGATAAACCTTCCCAATATCTTCCATTTGTTCGATCAGCTTAGTATTCTCTAATTCATCGATTTTTACTTAGTTGAGCGTTAGGCCCTGATAAGTCACTTACGCAGTCGATCAGGGAGGGGGTCAAAACCGGAAAGAAAGCCCCGGGCGATAAAGAGGAACTAGTACGAGCAAGTCTCTGCCTTTTTGTAGTTTCTTTCAAGTGGATGTGTCTTCAGTTTGCAAGATTCTGTCGTTTCTCTACTTCCTGTACCCAGCGAAGTGGAAGCATCTTTTTTACCTCATTTCCAATCTCCTTTCTGTTTTTCTTTTCTTTCTCTCTTTTTGAAGGTTTTCTGGCACTAGGGATTTGCAGAATATCTACTGGAGGCAGTGTTTCATTTCTCACACCAACTTCATCTCCCCAAAATGGAGAGTTTCTCCCAGAGGCGTCTTGATCCGACTTCAGACGATTGAAAATCCGGAACCGTAGACACGAGATTGAATGGCTTAATTCCTGTAGCGTGGAAGGAGCTCTTTGCTTTATCCTTACCTGAGACACTTTCATATTCTTTGCGAAATATGGAACAGATGTCACTCTGCGAAATTGCCGTTCCGAGATACTTTTGCTTCTATTTGCCAGCTTCAAGGAGATACATTGCTTTCCTGCAGATTCCTCAGTAGAATGGTTGCAGTTTGTATCTGTCATGGAGAGATAATGACCAAAGTGTAATATGATGCATTCGGAAATACATATCAGCTTGGCGATTGCAATGTAACTAGTGATTGTCTAATATTTAGAAGCACTGGATCAGTTGCAGGGGGCTTCACATAGCCTTGGAAGTGCCTAAGCCAGATTAAAACTAACAATTTATGAACCCATTGACCGATATCATAGGAAGAGTCTTCTGGAACATCCTTAAGTAGTTTCATTCTTTTTCGAAGAAATATGATCCTTGGTGTAAAGAAACCAAGAGAATTCACTCCACACCCAATTGTAAGTAATTGTGTGGCTCCCTTCGGCTGATACCACTCTGCGAACTAACCGTTTTCCTTTAGAAATTATTTTGAAGATTTTGTTAGGGACACTCGACATTCCAGCTTCATGCATATTGAAAGTGCGGTGTCCTGTTTTTTTCTCTACACCCACCGATCTCAAATTGTCAAAATACACCCGAGTTTGAAATCTGTTAAAACCTATATTCCAGCTAAGTACTAAGACAGCATTTTTCTGGAAGTTCAAGTGTAATATGTCTGTTGCAGAAATCTTTCACGGATTGACGCCCTGATGCTTTAATAGAATAATTGAGTCGATGACGTATCTGATTATTTCAACAAGCTCTTTTGCTACGTGCATTCTCGATCTGTCACATCCAAAGAGGGATCATCATCAAACGTCTAATGAGAAACGTATGGAAATTAAGGAAAGGTACTAACGGAATAGTGAGATATACAAAAGAAAAGGGAAAAAATAAGAGAAAAGTTTAAGAAATATCTGAAAAAGCTTGAGATGCGACACATCTCTCGCGCCCATTGGGGTTCGAATCCTGACGATGGCGGATTTTCGACACGAGCTAGTATAGCTAGGCTGAATTGAGCCGCCGTCTGGAGAGCTCTCATGGCCGGCTGCTCTGATCGGTAGTTTTCCGTCGCTTCTCCCATCTATTACAGGCGAATGCCAAAGCAGAACCCTAATAAACGGGCCATGGACCCGCGTCATATGAGTATTTCCTGCTTCATCCGTCTGACTTTTACACACACACACACACAAGCACACTACACTGGCACGCACTACATTACCATACATGGCGCGGGCTTAGGGCTTGCTCTGGCTGGGGCGGCACCCCACTGGTGTTTCATTTTCGGGAGGAGTTGACGTGCCCGTCAACCCACAAATACTAATTTCATCGCGATGCTTTGCAGGTGTGGGGCGCTGCAGGTGGGCGACCAGGTCCTGGCGGTGGGGAGCGTGCGGGTGGACGCAGCTCAAGGGGTGGGCGTGGCCGAGGTCCAAGAGATGCTCCAACAGGCCCCGGGCTCTACCCTGGCGCTGGAAGTGCTTCCCATTTCCTACAGCAGCAACTGGAGGCTCTCGGAAGGTCGAAGTCGAGGTAATTCACACAGCAGGTGGCACCTCCAGCTGGCACATCCCTCGCAGAATAGCATAACTATATAGTTAGGAGGGGGCACGGCCACGTTCCACTTCAAAGGACCACAACATACGGTGCCTCTGATTAAAAACTATTTATTGAACTAAACACAAATTATTTAACTAGAAAGTTTTAATTAAACATTCTGTATTTTAATTTTAATGATAAATTTATATTTTAATTTAAAAAGATTTTTTTGATGATTTGATTGCACTAAAGAGTACATTCCTTTAATTGAAGTAAGTTTTAACCACATCTTTTATTGCTATTTATTAATTCTTGTCTGCCATTGGGATTTTCATTAACCACCTAATTATTATAAGTAAGAAATTATTTGAACATACACATTTTTATATAATAAAAATATTAAGTCTTCTTTTAATTTACACTTTATATTGAGATAGGGAGTAAGAATTACCAAATCCACCTTCGCCATTGCTCTGATGTTTTTTCAATATCAATTATACAAAAAATTATCAAAAACACTGAACATTATTACTTTAATGTACTATATTCCAATTATGTATCTTCAAGAATAGTTGTATCACGATCAACAATCATTTAAATCACATGATGTATATATTAAAAATTATTTTATTATATATTATGATTATTATATTAAAAATTAAATTAGATGATGTAAATTCAAAACTGAAAGAACCAAAGAAAACAGTTTTTCAGTATTAACATTCTGCTTTCAGAATATACTTATATTATAATTATTGATAAAAATTTAAATACTTAAAGGTTTTTCAGGAAATTGTGGAAACTCATAATAAATTAAAATATGATTTTATAATTATATTTGAAAACCCTTTTGTTTGTAAAAATGTAATAAAAAAGTTGGCACATTTTTGGATCTTTTTATATGAATATATAAATGAATATTCGTAATATATATGAATATTTATAAATTAAACTTTATTTTAAGAAAATAAAGGTTTTTTGTCGATTTCATATTACAAATAATGTTGATTGTTAAAAGAAATTTATTTTAATTTCATCACGTTTTAATTATTTTATTTTATCAATTTTAATTGTAATTTGTTGTTATTTATTTCATGATTGTATCAATTATTTTATGCATCTTTTATTTTGTTAATAACAAAAATTCTCACTTCTCTTTTACCTCCCCCTAATGAAAATCCTGGCTATGACAATGCATGCTGAGATGCTTGTTTAGAATCAATACTCTTTGGGGCCATCCATAAATTACGTATAGCAAATTCAAAGTATTTTCAATACCCACTCTCCCCCTTGAAACACATCCGTAACATGCACTTGAACCCCGGTAAATAAATATTTAATGCTTGTGACAACACCCCCCCCCCCTCCGTTGTAAATGCAGGAAGTGACACAATAAAAAAAAAATTGTATTTCTTTTACTTGTGTTGTATATTAAACTAACTAATGATAATTAAAGTAGAAATTAGTTGGCGATGTTAACTGCATCTAACAAAATTGGAACAAGTTGTGAGTGAAGGAAGAATGCTTGGGGGAAAAATGATTCATTACAACTATGCTCACGCCGTTGTGGATGATGCAACAGCAAGAGTCTATAGCACCACTTTAAATGGATTCTAGAATATACTTCAGATCAGTTTTGAATATTGTTTTCTTCCGTATATTAGAAAAAAATGTGGAAAAAATATTTCTGTTTATTGTAACAATCTACAACTAATAACTTTGGTTTATTTATGTTTTTAAAGAAATTAATTAGCTAATATTTTAATGTTGTAGTACAAGACTCAAAAAAGGAATTATTTGGGTCCTGTACTCAAGTCATGAAAAATGTAGAAAAATAAATATCAGTGTTATGTAACACTTTTACTAATAATCCCTATCCCTATGTAACGCTGCCTAGGACCCTTTCTTCACCTTTTTAGCATTACATAATTTATGGATGATCCCTTTTATCCTTCTTTGTTGGTTAATGTATGGAAATAAATTATACGCTAATGCACTCTTAATAAAATAGACTTTAATAATTTATTCAGGCTATGCGAATTCAAAAAGTAGTCCTGTTCAACCTCCAAGCCCCTGCTCTAGTCCTTCTGGATTCAGTACTTTGAATCTTCACAGAAGAGGCCATTATTCAAGAAGTAAGAGTGACAATGCTCATGAAGGAAGTAAGTCATCATCAGCATACATTAAAACATTAACTTTGCTTTAGAAGCAGTTCTGTATTTGCTTTTATTTTGTTTGATATGAATTTTGTAGATTCAAGCAGTAGTGTTTTCGGAGGAATATGCCATACAGAATCATTATTGGTGATACTGGAACCAGACGAGCATGGTTTTGGACTCAGTGCAAGAGACTCAGGAACAGGGGAGGTGGTAGTATCACATATAGAAAGTGATAGTCCTGCTGAGCGGTAAAGTATTGCAGCAATTAAACAAACTTTTTCCTTCAATTTTTTGTAAACATTTTGGGTTTGAAATTGCTTACTACGCTGTTAATATTGATGTTAAAAACAAGACAAGACACAGGGCAAAATTTATATTTATCTTAATTTCTTGCTATTTCTTATACAGCAATCGAGGATCAATTAATGTTCTTTTCACTTTTTTCTTGAAAATGAATGTATTTTGTCACAAAGAGTCAGTGATCACTTTCCACCAAAACATACCCTAAATTTCTATGCAAGGCTTCTTCAATAGTATGTTACTTTATAAGTCTTCTCTTATTAAGTTGAGAAATCCATGACACAATTTTCCTCACGTGTTATTCCCACTGTAGGTGCTTTGGAAATTAAAATTGCAACTCGTAAAATCATAATAATCCATACCAGATGGTTTTTGATTTTCAGATCTGGTTGTATTCAGACCGGAGATAGGATTTTAGTTGTTGGAACACATTCAATAACAGCAGAAAACCTCACAGCTGGATGTGTTATGCATATGCTTCAAGAAATGAGTCATCAAGCTTCTCGTCTGTCTCTTCAGCTAGAGTTTGATGTTGCAGATTCAGTAGTACCTTCCAGTGGAATTTTCAGTGTTAAATTAGCCAAACGTGGCAGTGGTTTAGGAATTACAATTACAGGTAAAGGAAATTTTCTTCAAGAATTTTTTATCTAAATATACAGAATGATCAGAAGGGAAATGATCAAATATAAATTTTACTGCAATTTAAGATGCAGGTATATATTTTATAGCATTTTAAAATGATAGAGAAAATTTCAGTAATCATTCTGGAAGCAACAGAAGTTCTCATTGTACATGCCATCTCACAAATTTAGAACTAGTCTGTTTAATTTCCTATCAAGACAAAAATCAAATATCATCTCTGCATATTTTCAATTCTCTCATAAATATCACAAAGGCCTATTCTTCTATGTAAATAAAAGACATAGCACAATTCAAATTGCAGTTGTCAACACTTTCCTTTATAAATTTTAGCTTCCAAAACTCGAACAGCAGGTGAACCGTTGCTCATCTCAGATATCCGACGTGGCTCTGTTGCACATCGAACAGGCTCATTACAGCCAGGTGACCGACTATTGGCAATAAATGGAGTACTTTTAGACCAATGTTCATTAGAAGATACTCAACATATTCTTCAGAATTCCTCAGATATTGTCACATTACGTGTACAAAAAGATGACTCATTTTCAGGTAAAAACTGCAATTAATTCTGATGACTAAACAAGAATAATAAAAGAGACAACATATGGTAACTACATTAATTTGTTGAATTTTTTCTCCAGAGCATCCACAGAATCAAATAGTGGTATATACAGTAGAACTAGTCCGCCATGGTGGACCACTGGGTATCACAATTGCAGGATCTGAACAACCTTTTGAGCCTATCACCATTTCAGGACTGACTGTTGGTGGGTTAGCAGAGAAAACTGGAGCACTTCATGTAGGAGACCGCTTATTGGCTATTTGTGGAGAATCACTGCAGGGCAAACCACTCTCAGAGGCCATTAGTCTCTTACAAAATTCTGGTGATACAGTCACACTGAAAATAGCAAGAACAACAGAAAGTATGATATATTGGTTTTATTATCTCTATCAGATTATTCATAATATTTCTATGCTTATTGAAAAACTAATGAGTTTCCTTTTTCCAATTACATTGTTTCTCTCCATCAATTCAAATTCTCTTTAACATTTTCTTATCACTGTCTTCTTTTTCAATTACCAATAATTTTCTGACATTGTAAATACTGAGTGTTATTTAATGTGCCTGAATTTTAATCATTTCAATATTTTCCTTCCTATAAAAATTTGCTAGGGACATCGAGCGCAGAACAACAAAAACAGTCTCTTGGAGATACTATTAATGAATTGTCTGCTGGCCAGTTTGGACCTGCATTACCATCTGTTGACAGTGCTGTGGAGTCATGGGACAGTATGATGGGTCATGCTTCACCATCAAATCATGTATCAGTGATGGAATTGTACCAGGCTGGTAGAGTATATTATTTTTTTTCCCCCAATGAACATTTTGTCCCTCAAAAGAAAATATCAGTATTAAGAACCACAACTGGGCACAAATTCAATAAATCTCACCGCTTCTTGATCACAAAGGGGGTGGTAAATAATAGTGTCTGTGCACAAAAATGCAATTTTCTTGAAAAGAAATAAAATTGCATTTAAATAACAATGAAATTATTAAAGTTCTCTAAAAAGTCTTGGGTTAACAGCAACAAATCACATAAAAATATGCACAAGGTTACTACGAAAGCAACAATTTCTGCGACTTTCCAGTACAGCAGGCAGATAGCTTGTATTTTAAAATTGCTTTCTATTTCAGAAAGTGCTACAGTAAAGAGAAGACATAAGGCTGATTTATCCAGTGAACCTCAACTTGGACAGTGGGATGGGCTTTCTCGTAGTTCTCATAGCATTGATAGCGGGCAATCAGGTAGTGCCAAAAAATTGTTTTTTCAAAGTAAATGAATTTTGATGTGTAATCATTTTTCATCACTTCACAGGAGTATTATCAGAAGATGACACAAAAGGGCATTGGGGAAAGACAGATGATGTTGCTAATATTGAATCATCTGAAACCAAACAGACCCCTACAACACTATTAACAGCACCAGGTAGATATTGCAAGTATAATTAGTATCCATGGAACTATCACTAGAATTATTTCAATTATTTTTCTTTATGTTTCTACAGATGAAAATCAAACAAATCTCAGCAATCCTCACCTTTCATGTAATTTACCAGATTCTCCTCTTCCATTGCCTCATTACATGCATTGTAATAATGACAAAAACAGATGTAATGGAAACACATTTGGTACTAAGCTAATCAAAGAAGCTAGCAGTAGTACTGGAGAACTTTATGATGTGGAGGGATGCGCCTCATTCCTTCAACTGAACACACCCACAAATACCAACCCCAGTCACATGCAATTATACCAGGTGAGCTGATAGCTCTTAATGATCAGCACAATAACTAGTATCTACATTTAATCTAACATCCAGGGTCTTTAGTTTTTCTCTCATTGTGATGTGTGTATGTAATAATGCATAGCAAATTGTTAGGTGGTTCACTATGAAGTTCACAAAATTGTCATACAGAAACGCATTTTGCCTTTCCACAAAATAATCATTTAATTCTTGAACTGTGTGACTAAACTCTGTGCATTGATGTTGATACCTATCTACTTACTTCAAATATTTAACTTCACTTTCAATTGGAGTGTAGTCTTATTCTTCTAACCACATTTTTTATTATGCTCGATTTAAAATACTTAAATAGAATAACTTTGAATATTAAACTGTAAAAATATATCATATAATGAATCATGTTTATTTTCTTAAATATTAATCGAATGCAGAAATTTATCAAGAAAAAAGGTAGTTTCCCTCACTGCAAATGAATTGCTAATACTTGAGAAAAAATGTTTGTGCTTTAAGCAAAAAAACGACAAAGTTAAATATGAAAAATTACTATCATTCTTTTACATTTTATTAGAGGGCATATACTATCACAAATCCTACAATAAAAATACTGTTCTTAGGTAACCCTTTTTAAAGATCCAGTGTATGAAGACTTTGGATTTAGTGTCTCTGATGGTCTCTATGAAAGAGGAGTGTTCATTAACAGAATCAGGAAAGGGGGTCCAGCAGATCTCAGTGCAATACTGAAGCCCTTTGACAGAATCTTACAGGTATGCTACTATTTCATAACTTGTATTAGACTCTTCCGAGTGTTACATCATTTAATTCATTTTCTTAATTCAGGTAAACGATACAAGGACACATGATTTTGACTGCTGCCTCACAGTTCCACTCATAGCTTCAGCAGGCGAGAAGCTAGAATTGACTGTGGCAAGAAATCCATACTGCTCATCTGAAAACAATGTAAGAGCCAAAAGCACAGAATAAACAGAGAACTTTACTTTACAAGATTTCTTTTCTTATTGAGCACTGAGAAATATTCCCTGCCCAAAACATAACTATTCTTCAATATTTTCAGGAGGCAACAAACAGTTTGCCATGGGTTGATGAAGAAGAGAGTATAAGTTACTCCCCGGCAGGATTTTCATCTTCAGGGGCTATTACAAAAACCCTCATTTGAGTATCATGGTATGTGGACATGTCAATCACAATGGTTTATAAAACAGCAAACACTGAAAGGCATATATGATGATAAAATATATGATTCATTTTTAATTTAATTAAATATTTTGCTTACACAGGAAATAAATAATTTATTTTCGTTTACTTACAAAAATAGCTCTCTCATTTTCATAATCACTCAACTATTGAAAAGTACAATATTTACAAATAAATATTTGCACTGCTTTCTACAATCAACACTTTTAATAAGGGCACACAAAAACTGCAACAGAATTAATACAAAAAAGGCTAATCTGGCTGTAGCATAAATAATATCTCTAATTCTTGGATGTGGCCTTCATAATACACACACAGAAACCACAGTAAACAATATTCACAATTATTTAATCATTTTGTCATACCAAAGGTAATATGTCAGATCAATAGAAAATTATATATTCCAAATTTCAATTTAAAAATAAATTAAAAATATACTTGGTAAAGTAAACTTGCATGGATATCAACTTTTTTCAATTAAGTTTTTTGGTTTTTGCAATAGGTTTGACATTACATTATCCATGGGATTGTTAACTTGTAAATACTACAGTAAACTATCATCGTCCTACCACAAAAATACGTACAGAACAAAACATATCATTTGTGAGGAACTTGAGAAAACAAAGTACATTAAAATCTCATTCCACAACAATTATCTCCGTTCACATGCAGACCTACTAGTAAAACTACAATCACATACACTTATTGCAACTTCCACACACTTCTTGCACACATTAACATTAGTGTAATATTTATTTGATATTACAACAGAGTTGTACTGCATGGTAAATACAATATTTACAAGTGTTGACATATATAACAACCCATACAGTATGTTTTGTAACATTCCAATTTACAGCGAAGAAAAAACTATTCAATCATTATGCATAGAATTGGCCAATTGCAATACAACAAACTGTTTCTTATTTTCAGATTGTGTGATAACGATATGAATTATAAACCAAGTTTCCCCAAATGTACAATGTATGTTCTGAAAATGCCCTATATTTTAAATATGGGCTGGTTAGGTAAGAGTATGTAATATGCAGAAAGTATTAAACAATATAGCTCATGTACATTACAATTCAAACACTAACAACTACCTCCACTTATTTTTTATATGATGGAATTGGTATTTAATAAAGAAAACGTACAAATTCTATAAGTCTTTACTACCCTGTATCACAGAACTGATCATTTCTCCCAAAGATGAAAGGACTGCTTCAAAATTTTACAGATCTTATGTATATATTTGAATTATGACCAAAATATGTCTACTTCATTTAATGACTATTTAACTTTCACTTCAAGTAAAGAGATTTCAGCTGTTAGCCCTGCTTTTCTACATTCCATCTTAATGAGCGCAAAAAACCATCATTGGACTGTGTCAAAATGTTTTGAGCATACATTTAATGTGATAGTTCATGTCTTTATTATTAACTTCGCACTAGTACCTTTTTCTTCAAGGAAATTTTCAATATTCAACATTCTTTGACTTTGGTTTCGACTGACTTCAGGAAGTCAAATGTTAAAATTTGACCGAGTATTCCTACCATATGAAAGCAAATTTTGCATTAGAAATATTTCATACAATACATTTAAATGAGAATTGAAACAGTCATGAAAACTTCCTTGTACTATTTATATTTGTTCCATTTTATACCCTCATTACAGTATTAAACTTCATAGTGAATAATAAAAATATGTAATAAAAGTGTACTTTGTCACTATGAATAAAGAAGAGAGTCATTGCACTTAGTGACAGAGAAATAACAATCAAAAAGTACTCGCATTACCAATTGTCAGTGCCTAAAAAATTGATACTAACATAGTCAAAGCATTGTGTAATTTTCTCAAAACAAGTCAAAAATTAGTAATAGGATTCTCTATTCTATGAAGGTCAAGAACGCACTGCAAATATTCATCAATTAACAGATTACAAACATATATTTCTGGTTCAAGAAAGAAATAAAAAATGATCTACTTGTTCATAATATACTACAGAAAGAAGTAATGCTTCTTTGCAATTAATTTTTTTTTTTTAATTTTAAGAAAATGACTCATACAGTTTCCATTTTGTTTTTGAGTCTGAAATTCTGAAACTTCCAGAAAACACTGGGCTTGCATATTAATTTTCAGCTTAACAAACTTACTACAGTTGAAATCATCATGAAATCTTCACAACACAAACTAGACAAATAATGCATTTTCTGAATAATCGTCTTTAATTAAAAAATAATGAATTTGTTATTCAATTTGGGGCTCTCACATATATTCCTTTCACATTTGTTTAACAGAACGCCAGAAGAAAAATTAATTGCACATCATCAATTCCCTGTTAAAAACAGTATCTGTCAGCGAAAAATGTGTGTACAATTATATTGTTTCTCATGAACAGAAATTAATTTCTTTTTTTTCGTTAAGGTTGCATCAACTACTAGGTCATTAGCGGCCACTATTGCTTGTAACGGTATGGTTACTGTGGGTTGACACGATAATGATGATGATAGGGGGTGAAAGGACGAAACACAATACAACCATGCCCGAGGCGGGACTCGAACCCGCGATCCTTCGGTCCGAGTTCGCTACGGCACTACTGCCTTACCGATCTCGGCCACCGGATCGGCAGAAATTCATGTCATATATCACTGCTGTCGTTTGCTGAACAGCTTAACTACTCTTCACAAAGTCCCAAAAGTTAAGCAACTTGAGTCACCACAGATTCCTAGATGGGTGAACCTTGATTGTTATCGGCACAGAGCCCCTAGCCAAAGGGATAAAAGAAATTGACTGACTGAGACATGACGAGACAAAAGTCAAAATCTTAACGGAAGATTGTTCCAGGTAATATTAATCCTCAAAGCCAAGAAGGGCTAAGAGAAGTGTTGGGAGAAAAAAAATAATGATAATAATAATGATGATGATGATGTTAATAATAATAATAGTAATAATAATACTAATAATAATAGTAATAGTCATCATCATCATCATCATCAAAATAAATAAAGCAAATCGTGAAAAAATTACTCTAAAAACCTCTTGTAATACTGATATATACACTTCATTTATATTACTTACATTCATTTACAATATTGTTGAAATTTTCAAATTCTATTTTTCCTAAACAACCAGATTAAAGATTCTGGAACATTTCTCCAAATTCCTTCACATTAAAGTTTCTCTTTGAATTAATACACCACCACAATTTCTTTGACAATCAAATTTGTATTTACAATTTTAAGGCATACTTAATGCAGGTACAAGAGTGTATAAAGAAATCAAAAACTAAGGTTATAATAAGAATTATAACTCCCAGAATTTGAAATGAAATTGAAACAATTAGTAAATTTGATGCACTCAGCAATTTACCACTAATGACTGCTTGCTGTAGTGTTTTATTCCCTTCATGATCAAATGAATCTGCATTTCTCTTTTGTTCTATAACAATGTTGTTAAAAGCAGGATGAACCAACAACATTGTAATTACAATTTATCAGTCCACCAATTTCTCTTACTAAAAGAGGATGTATACCACTAAACTGTGTACATGATGTTAAAAACTGTCATCTAGTGCTACAGAAAAATAGTTGCAACACTGCTGGTTCAAAACAATAGTGATGTATTTCAAAATCCATAAAAGCAGAATTCTGGCACATGATGATATTGGCTTCATTATAAAATACAATCCATATACAAAATTGACCCATTCAATCAACCTACAATACTGGACACCTCTTGGGATCATACAAAATACTTTATAGCTATCCTGAACATTACTTACTACAGCCAATAAATTCAAGAGTCTTACAATCCCAGAATTTCTATGGTTCCATTCAAAATCCACATTTGTTGTTTTTACAAAATAATCATTTGTATTTTGGGGTTAAAATTTGAAAAATATAGTTTACCACAGAATACTTGACTTCTTCCAGAATGCAAAGCAAATGAGAAATACTTATCTATTTTTTCCAAATTTCCTGACAATTTCCGGGTTTCCACAGGCTATCAAAATAAAATTTTCTGACTTCAGAGATTCTCTGTCTTAATACTCTATGCCAGTTGTTACGATTACTATTTTACAGTTATTCCTCTAAGTAAGATATTACACAATTTTAAACAGTAGACCATCGCAGAGAATTAAATGAATTATATGACAATAACAGGGGATGAAAACAGAAAAGAGTTGTTGACAGACGAAGACTAGAAAAATTTATTTAACATTTCAAAAAAAATTGGTTGAAATATATTGTTTTAAGATACTACATTACTGCTGCTTCCACAAACATTTTAAAATAGAAGATCAAAAGAAAGAAAAAGAAAATATAATGGAAAACAGAAAGTTAAAAGAGAGTTTGTATGTAAGGGAGTTCATTTGTTCCACTGTGGTCTGAACAGTTTGAAACATTTCTAGAGTCGATATTTGAACCATTGCAGGCCATTTGAGATCAATTATAAACTGCTATTGAAGTTTTTACTTTCTAAAATTAAAAATGTAGTACTGCATTTTAACAAGAAGTTACATGTATTACCCACATACAATCAGTGATATGCCACTAGCAAAATGAGTATTTCACCTGCACTTTGGTATTATATCATTTTCTGAAAAAAATATATTACATTGACTATTATTTAGTAGAATGTAGACAGTCAACCACTTTTATAAGACCAAACTCCTGTCCAAACAAGCGAAAATTCGCATATTTCATAGCCATTGACCATGTTAAATCATAAATACGAAAATAATGCTCTTGAAGGATTTTCATGGATGTGATATAAAACTCCCAACTCTTCATTGAGGAGAAAGGTCCTTAAGACCAGTCATTTATGTGGTAGTTTCTTTATCGAACAATTATCTTGTCTTATTCGTGTCTTCATTACATTATTGGCTCATTGTGTGTCTAACTTTTTACAAAACTACCCCCTCACCCCAACTTTTTATCTACCACACCCTAGGGTAAGGTGACCAGACTTCCCATATTAGCCGGGAAAGCCCCTTTTTTTGTCACTGTGCCGTATTTTTCTGAAGGGAAAACGGAACGCCAAAATATCCCGATTTTTGCGACGATGGCTTACAGTGCCATCAACAATTTTAAATTTATCATAAAGTATTCCTTTGGGTTTGCATTAGTTTATATGAAAGTATACACTCATGTATCACGCAACAAGAGTGTTTTACAGACTATTGAAATGAAGAAGGGAGAGATTGAGTGGAGGTGAAAGGAAGGGGAAGAGAGCTTTCGAGCTATTCCATATCGCTATCTACATCGCTACCGAGAAAAGCAATCATCCGAACATTCGGCTGCTGTGACATTCTGCGCGACTTAGCAAGCAATCTCAATTGAGGAGTACGTGTCCCGTTTTTAGTGAAGAAAAAGTCAATTGTCCTTTTTTTTAGTTTTTGTGGGGATGCGGTCATCCACCCTCCTTGGAGTCGAGAGAGCGCGACACCACACGTCAGCTACTAAACAACGTTTCCTAATTGGTACGCGCAATCTGTGCTTAATCCCAAAAGCAATGCCGGAAAGTCTCCTAACGGCTCTAACGAGCACTTGGGATGATGAAACTTTGCAAAGTCAAATTATTTTTGTGATATCATATCTGAAATTCTGTATGCATTTTGTGCAAATTACAATGACACAAAAGAACTTGTTCTGACATCCGAGGAATTGTGCCGAGGGTAGATACGTCCAAATAAAATATTTTGAAGTTACGCCAGCAAGAGGCAGATCAATGGCAAATTGCACTTTGTGCTCAACAAAAATGGTCTACCACTAGCCCGACCTGTGCTCAATAAACGTCGAAAAATCCAGAAAAGTGTGATCATGAGGAGCGCCAAAAAAAAAAAAAAATAATAATAATAAAAAAAAAAATAAAATAAAAAAAAAGAAAAGAAAAAAAGACGACGTGGGTGTCTAAAAACGTATGTACTACCTACTTACTGTTCTGGGTGAAGTATATTAAGAATACACAATTTACCACCCCTTAAATTTTCTGACCATTCCGGAGTTGAAAATTCCTTGTAAAACAATGTGGTCTTATCTCGAAATATTTGCAGAGGAAGAGTCGAATTTGACGTCGCTGATGGAGTAAGAATCTTACGCTACAAATCATACGTGAAGCCAGTAGCTTCAACGAAATGAGCGCGGGCCCCTTTTTAAAGTGTATAGCAAACACAAGTAGTATCAGTACCTTCAATAACAAAAATAGAGCCTCTTTTACCGGCACCCGCCAGCATTGCGGGCCGGACGCCACTGACTTAAACGAAACCTATTGAGCGTACAGAAGAAATTAAAAATAGAACTCAAATAAAATTTCTCCAAGTTACGGTATTTTATGTTTATTTTGTCTCAGCACAAACTGCGGAACAGAAACACAAACAGAATCCATTGTGGAATGATAAATACGCTGTTGTGGAATTCACTGGGATGTAATTAGTGAGCGAGAATGAACTGAAATTCTTTATATCACATTATTTCGAATTAGAAATACAGCTACACCTTATTAGCGAAAACTAAAATAAGATTTAGAACAGAGTGTCGTCTCTCAAGGGGTCAGCAGTCAGATTCACAGCCTACCGCATACCATAGGCCTACTACACTAAAGTCCACAAAATATATGCGTTTATATCTGTATTTTATGTACCTATTTAAAAAATTTCTCGTCTCGTCCCAACTTTTAATATTGCTGGTCAAAATTTGGTGATGATGCTAGAGCTAGACACATTTTGCTAGTTGCTTAGCAATCCAATTTAAAAAAAAACTATAAAATTTGCACCTTCTGAAGAAAACTGACACTAAAACGAAACCAAAAATTATGGAGTTGTAGGCTATATCCTACTCTTAAAGTATAAGCAGTGAGTTTTGCTTTCTCTAATATAATTGTCTCAATATTTTCAGGCATCGATTTCTCCAGATATTCCTTGCAATGGCAACGGGATCCGATTTTCGACATCAGGCGCCGAATTCGTCACACGAAACTACGGACACCCTGCATTCCGCAGGCCGCCTTCTATGCTCAGATATCAACTACTCTTATGACACCAGGGTCCAATTACAAGGAGTTCCGAAATCTCATTTACACTAATAATTTCTCCGTCCCGGTACCGTCCCCCCCCCCTCTCAGGATATTTCACCATTGTAAATAAGGTGTGTACCAAGTTTGATTAAAATTCTCCAGATGATACAGAGTTCTGATCGAAAACACACATCCATTTTTATGAAAGGATCAGGGAGTCAGTAATAACTCCTGTTTCTGTAGTATTTGTTTGTCAAAGGAAAAATGAAGTTTTTGTAAATCTGTTTGGGTATACAGCTCTTGCTGCTTTTGATTCGTCTTTGTTCTAAACTAAGACTTTCCTTTAAATGCATGGAATGCTGTTGTCAAACGCTTCCATTACATGACGACAAATAATTGGCTGGCTGACATAACATCAAAGGACCTTTTGCCTTTTCTACATAAGCTTGCAACATGAAATTTGGTATTTATGTTCTTGTTATGATGTAAAAGGCTGAGCAGGGAGGAACAGTGGAGTGGAGAAGAGTGATATCGTATTGATGTAAATAAAATATAACCCTTTTACTGCACTGAGGGTATTCATTCCTTTTCCAAGGGTTGAGATAAATGAATACTCAGTCAACACCAGGTTACTTCAAAGGTTTTAGTCTCCACAACAGACAACAGTGTGCCATTTCTCCTTGAAATAATAATGGGTTTAAATTAATAAGAAGATCTGCCATGAACTCATAGAGTCTGTTGCACCACTTTTCTTCAAACTCCAAAAGGAATGCTAAAATGAATGTCGAGAGTGCTAGCCACTGAATATGGGAGACAATCATGTAGCTCTTGAGACCACACCTCACAAAGTATAACAATGGTAGCAATGTCTCTCTTTATCTTTTGCTCTGGACACAAAACAACTCAATTGGGAAATGCATGGGCAAAAAATGTGTGGATGTACAATTTCAAAGAAAATAGATTGAATTTACAATTATTATCCATTACCCCTTCAATGAGACATTTCTTCTATAAATAAAAATCTATATTATGTCATAGTACCATTTATTTTAAGAGAAAGCCTGTCTCAACCTGTATTACTTCTTCCAAGAGGATTTTCTGCACGGAGTTAATGTAGCTACATGCAACATGCACTAGTGATCTCCCCAGTTCACTTTGTGACCCCACCCCATAAAGAATTATTATAGAAAAGATGTTCTTCTCTACAACTTTAACTCTATATAAGAGCATCAGGATCAGGTGACACTCAATGGCCACGAACAAACAATATATATCGATTACAAATTTCAAATTAAATCTACTTATTTTACAATGATTGGCCTTTTTAAACCTAGTGTAGACTTAGTGTGCAATTTCCTCTCAAAATAAAAAATAAATAAAAAAAGATCTGGTTTAAATTAACACATCTGTATAAATTTTTGACCTGTTTTGCTGCAAAGATACACTTGCTTTGTCATTCTTCATCAAATTGTTATATCATTCAAATTGTTAAATAACCAGACTGCAATTAGATTGCTTTTCTCCCAAAAAAACTCATGATCTCCAATTAACAAACATTCAGAACACTACGATACAAAATTCAAAATTCTAATTGTGGTCTGCCAAAGCTTCTAACGTCACCTCAAGGAAATTTTCTTCCTCATGAATTAGCTTGATTAGTTTGATTTACTGCATCAAATAACAGTTATATGGGGGAGTGATGTACGGGGCAGAAGTATAATTTGCTTATTTTCTTGAGCTCCACAATCCTATCCACCCTTTTACTGAACTATGTTAAACGATGAACAAAATTACCAATAAATGTGATTAGAAAGTAAAAACATTTAAAAACTAGGAATTTTCACTCCCAAGCAAGAGTTATTTTGAGATTATGAACTACAGATTTGATTTAATTGTATTGCTAACAAAATATCAAACCACACCCCTGGTTCTAGTACTATCACTACTAGCAAATGAGAAGCTTAATCAAACACGCACATGGTAAATTTTCATTTGTGTCTTTTCTGACATAATTGCTTTAAACCCAGGAAAACATGGGGCCAACTCATCATTTTCTTCAAGGATCAAGGAAACTGGATGAAAAGCCTCATCGAGATTGGAGTCCTTGATCCAGAAATTTGGGACTTTACTTGTTAGAGGAATATTAATTCTTTTAAAATTATACAGTACAAATATTAACTAATTCATCAAATATCATCAGTTTCAATAAAAACTACAGATTCATAAATAAATAGGTAATTAAGGCAAAAATTAGGAGGAATTAAATCTGTTTTACATTATTTTATCCATTTCAAGTTTGTTGTACTGAATAAAAGAATTCAAATGAAATATGTAAACATTGAAAACACACTTGAATGAAACAGTCTTTCATTTTATTGATGACGATGTGAACAGGAAGAAGTTAAAAAAATTGAGCCACTGCGATACACTCAGGGAAACTTGCATAGGAAAATCTGCCAAATCATTCAGACAGTTCGAATGGAATGAAGAAACTCGCATACACACAAACATTCCACTCCTTTTCATCATGCAATAGAGTAAAAAACCAAGTTACAACCAGCTATTCATAGAGTCATACAGCAAAACATCTTTATATAATCCTGGGGCCCACTTGCCTTATTTCTAATTACTAGTTCAAAAAGTACTGAGATTATTAAAATATACAATATTACATGTGCATAAAGCTTTGTTTTTGCTGTTCGTTTGCATTCAAAATACTTTTAATACAATTTGCTAAATAATAAACGAGTTTGATTTCTCTAAGGCATTTGATATAAACATTTTGTTAATATTATTGTTAAAAGATGCCGTTTTTTTCAACGCTCAACCCTGACCTCTCTAATTACCAATACTGATTTTAAATAATTTTACTTACAGAATATTGTCATAAACTTTGTTTTCCATTGACTTTATCATACACCAATTTTATAAGCTTGTTTCTCTCTGTGCCATGATATTGAATCTAGGTCAGTATTAATGAAGAAAAAGTTTATTGGTATAACTTCTGTTCTCTTCCTTTAAAAAGTCATACATACTTCAAATAATGTATCAAAACTATTATTCCAGAAGTATTGCACATGTTTAATAATTATTTTTTGTTATATTAACTGCATGTCAAAAACACACACATTCTCTTTTTGCTTCAATATATTTTCAAATGAGAGAGGACAGTGCAGTCTGATTGCAATTAAACATGCTCTTAAATTAGAAATTAAAATCAATACTTTATATTTATATCAGTCAAGGGATCCAGAACTCTTAAATACCAAATTTACACAATGCTTGACAATTTTTTTTTTTTTTTAAATTGAAAAGGATCACCAATGCTGAACATATGCATTGCTTTCATTAGTTGACATACACAATTTTTTTTTAGGCAAAGACAATATTGTAACATATCCACATATACCTGTACAGTGAATATATGAATAGTGATGTAAATCAAGACCTTCAAAAGATGTTGAAACATCTTCTCTATTAAAACAAACAAATAAATATACAAAAGAATCTGATGCATGCACAAGAACAAGTAATATCTTGTGTCTTGTACATCAATATAAATAAAATGCAAATATTTTTGTTAACACTCAACTGTAATACTAATCATCTGAGCTCCATCTTTTGTTTTTAATACTCACACATACAATGTAAACCAGGTCCGGCCTGTCAATACATTCATTCTCATAATCTATTTGATTCTAATTACTCATACATAGAACAATTTTCCATTGCTGTGAAGATTATTATTAAATCCCTTAGCATGACCATTCAAATATCCCGCTGGCTTACCGAAGTTACCATTAGAACCAGTCTCCATACTAGCGTGTTGAGGACTACTAGGCAACAAAACATAACCTGTTTTGTTATGCCAAGACTGTTGTGAGAAAGGTAAGACAGTTTGCTTCTTTTGAGTCTCTTTAGCATCATGCTTAGCCTGAAAATAATAAATAATAATAATAAATAATAATAATAATAATAATAATAATAATAAATAAAATAAAAAATAATTTGAACACAATAACCACTACATTAAAAATTTCATTTTAATACGACAACATAATTTATATTGTTCATTTTAACATTATATTATTCATTTAAAAAACATATAAAGTATTGTACCTTGTTATAATAAAGAACTCCAAATACGGCCATTGTCATACCCATGACGTTTGTAAGAGTGACTGGATTACCCAAGAAAAAGAGGGAAACACCAATAACAAATATGCGCTTGGAAGCACTTGCAACTGCATATGTCAATGGTGTAACCAATGATAAAACACTGAATGCTATTATATTTTGCAACCAATTTAAAACTCCATCAAAGAAAAGGAGTACTAAAACACGATAGTTGTCACTTCCCATCTGAAAACAGATACAAATATTTTCAAAACTGCCCTTAGTAAGAAAATGTATATTTGAATTGAATAATACACAACATAATCCATAAAGTAAGCTTTGTAATTACAGCTAAACTTACCAATTGGGGTTCATTCAATACATTTCGAAGATCAACAAATATCCAAACAGGCAAAAACATTAATAATGCAAGGCGTCCTAAAATATGCAACAGTCGTAAATGATGGACACCAGTGTCATGAAGAACCTACACAAAACCAACATGTAGAAGTTGTTCCCCTCATAATAAAACCACATTACACAAATTAAATAATCACCTTTTTTGAAAAGATGTTTTGTAAAGAGAAACCCATTGTCGCAATCAATGCACTCACTAGCCCTATAACATCAAATGAGATTTCAGTCATAGTGGCAATTGCAACACCTCCAATGATTGGAACCAATGAACAGTACACCTAAAACAATAAATGAAATAATATCACAGATGTAATAAGTGACAGTTAAGAAGCAATGAAATAATGATAGTTTTCCCAACAAATTCGTTTCCAGCTACTGACAGTTTCCAGTTCCTAATCATTAAAGGGAACTGGCTTAAACTTACTTTACACGTTTGTTTTTCTCCAAGAATAATTCGTGTTAGAATTACAGTAAATAGTGGCATTGTAGCTTTCACTGTAAAATAAACAGATTGTTATAATGAAAACTAGACACAATAATCTAATGAATACCATCTCGAACAGGGGGGTTACTTACCAGTATGCGCATACGAAACTGGCACTTTCCAGATGCTGACATGAGAAAATACTGATGCAAGAAATTTACCCAATGCAAGAGGAACAATTATTTTCAAATAATAATTCCAGCTGATATCGACAAATCTTCTGACGCCCCACAAATTAAAAAATGGTCCGGAGTAAATTGTTATAGACGTGAGCTGCACCATTGTCACTGTCATAGGGTAGGGGAAGTCACTGAGTAGCATTTTACCGATGACATTGTTGCTAGAACTCACTACATACCACAGAACACATAAAAATAAAACAGTCAAAACTTCCCTCGCCTGTTTTCTGTCAGCCATGCTGGCAATAGCTGATATGCAACTCAGAAGTTCACCCAACCATCTGGTACCATTCGTTCCACGAGCCACCTTTCACTAGTGTATAGTGCATTCACAAAATCTCGTCGCTTTTGAATGTGATGACATTCAAAGACCCGCGAAATACAAAATCAGAATGTCTTCGCGCTACTTTTTTATTTCTCTCAGGTTTTCGACTTCTTATCAAACTCATTAATGTTTGACAAATGTAATCAAACAAGCAGTTAGAATTGATTATACTCTCTTAAGTTGTGGGATAAATCACAGCCAATCAAGTTTTTAATTTTACAATTTTGTGATTTGAGGACACTCAACAGACTTCTAGTTGCGAAAGACGCTTTTCATCTGTTGACAAATGCGTGCATCACGTATGGTGTACTTCAAATGTTCTGAGAACTTTCAGCACGGCGTCTTCTTAGCACGTTGATCACGATAACCTTAAAAATAGGTTGGAATGAAAAGCTGACAATTAATGTAGAAGTTAATATCCGTGTGTACGCGATTGTATACTAAGTACAGAATGATCTTCTCTCGTCTTTATTCATGTGTCATTCGTTTAAAAAATAGCAGTAGAACGAAAAGTATATTAAGTGGGCGTATAGTGAGGTTTGTTGATCCGACAGAAAGAGCAGAGCTTAACGTCATTTTTAAAAGATGTCTATCAAATGGAGAAGAATTATCAGTTAAAAATCCTCTAATACACAACTACGTGGAGATTTTAGTAAATGAATTCAGGAAACTCTCCCTCTGTGCTGAGAAAGAGTCTAGTGTTGGAAATGTTATGCAAAGGTTGAAAGAGTTAAAACCTGTATATGATTTCCACTCTCAGAAACAAGAATTATTAGAATGTTTATCTTCTCTTCATGAGCTTAATCCAGAAGGTGAGAAAATTTGTTGTGTAGTAAATATATTATAAAATGCTTTCAGTGACGTTCTCTTTTATTATTCAAACCATTTTCTTTCAGGTCCTCCATTAGTGCGAAATCTTTTGTTGCACCATCCATCCTTCCTGCCCAATTATCTATGAACTACGTGCCAACCTTGCTTCTTATATACTTATGCCTTAACCATTGTATTTCTTGAACACCTTTTCTAGTGAGCTAAGCCTTCATGGGTCCTTTAATCAAGTTGTTTTAATCTTATTCTTAAGGATATTTCTAGATGTACATTATCTTTTGACTTATTGCTATCTTCATGAGCAGTTTTATTAAAGAAGTTCATTACGTATTGATATTGTCAGAGGAATGCATTTTGTGTTCTACTTTAGAATTACTTATTTACAGATACAATGTTTAATTTGCATTACCAAATATTCTAGACATTTTTTCCAATTTAAGAAGGACATGCATTTTTATTGCATAGACTCAGCATTATTCAAAAATCAAATCAACAATATTCAATACATCATAAACATATTGTTCTATTTGGGAAAGACTATTTTCTTTGTCTGCAAATCAGTTAGTAAAGAAACAACCACTATGGCAGACAGGTAATTAAATTCTAATGTCTGTTTTAGGAAAGTCAAAGGATAATGATCTCCAAAAACAAATAGAAGAAGAGAAAAAATACTACATAAGAAAGATTGAAGCACTCGATGAAAAGGTAAAATAACATTTTGGAAAAGTTGTATTACTAAGACACATTTTAAAAATGATAAATGAAGAAACATAATAGAGAAAGTTGTAATAAACTAGTGAACTTCCTCTCTAAGCTGTAAATAAGTCACTAAAAAGATTGAATTATTATTACAAAACAAGTAATGGAACAAACCATCTTTAAATTCTCAAACACATCTCGCATTCCTCTTGTACAGATCTAATCTTAGAATTGCTTTTGAAGCATGTTTGTTTTCTGTGGCTAACTCCAGAATAATTCTGCTTTGTAGATCATTAGTGTCCTGTTACCTCATAATCCAGAAGATGCACATACTGAAGTAATGATGGAAATAAATGCAGGTGTAGGTGGCCAGGAAGCAATGCTATTTGCTCAAGAGCTCTTTGATATGTATTGTTCGTATGTTGATTTTAAAGGGTGGACACTAGATGGTTGTGATCGAAATATTACAGATATTGGTAAGTGGCTTATATAATTAATTCTGTACAATTTTTATGATTTGAAATCACCATCTAATTATAGGGACATTCCGGTCTTGAAGACATCATGTCCTAGACATACTTACTGAAGTTTAGCCATCATATTGCAACCTTCCCCAGGGCAAAATGCAGCATTTTGCTTGAAGGAAGGTTACGATATGACTGTTGATACGTTGGTAAGTATACCTAGGACAAGGCAGCTTCCAGACAGGCTTCTTTCTATCAACTCCAGCCTGGGAAGCCTTCACTTTCACACACTAATTAAGTGGTGTTGTTTTTTGTTTAGTGTAGGTGGCTTAAGGCAAGCTACCCTCTATATATCTGGTGTTCATTCATTCAAATATTTGAAGCATGAAGCTGGGGTTCACAGAGTACAGAGAGTTCCTGCTACTGAAAAATATGGTCGACTTCATACTAGCACTGTTTCTGTAACAGTTTTACCTCAAGCTAATGAGGTGATATGTTGTTACATAGTTTGTTGCAGTTATTAGATTATTTTTTTTAATGCATTACTCTTATCTGCTTTATTTTTAGATAGATGTCGAAATTCAAGATAAAGATCTGAGAATTGAAACAAAACGTGCCAGTGGAGCTGGGGGCCAGCATGTAAATAAAACAGAAAGTGCTGTTCGAATTACTCATATTCCCACAGGTATGCCAAAGTTAAGTGCCATTTTTCAATTAATGTAATGTGTTTGTATTGGCCCTGGATTCACATATTCCCTATGTTTTATTTTTAGGAATAGCAGTCGAGTGTCAAACTGATAGATCACAAATTAAGAATCGGAAAGAAGCCATGAAAAAATTGCGAAATATATTGTATAAGAGAAAGATTGAGGAACAAACTGCCTCTGCTCTTTCTACTCGTAAAAGTCAGGTATATGTCAATTATTAATTTATTTATTTGGAATGTTAGTTTCTCTTCTCTTAGTGCTTTGGGAATATAGGAAATTCCTGAACATACTTTAAGAAAAATCTGCAAGTAAATGAATTGTTGTTGTTTTCCAGGTGAAATCGAACTTAAGATCAGAGAAGATACGCACTTACAATTACAATCAGGATCGAATAACTGATCATAGAGTTAGTGGAAACATTCATAATCTTCCTGAATTTTTGATTGGGAATGAATATTTAGATAATTTAATTGAGGAACTTGAAAGCAATAGTAAAAAGGAATTGCTTTTTCAGAGAATAAAAGAAGCATGTGACCATGTTATTTAGTCCTATTTTAGGTGTGCTAGGTATACATGAACATAAAGAGTTTTGTAAATATGTTATTTTATAAATAGGAAAAAAAATTGATTTTGTGTGAGAAGAAAAAACAGCTTAAGTTTCTTTTTGTTATGTCATGAACATTGTTCTAAATCCTTACCCCAGAATAGCTTTAGTCTCAGTGCTACTTTCCAGTGTTCACAAGAATTTAATTTGAGAAATACCTAATAGTTGACAAAGATTTAACAGATTTGTTATACTATTTCATCAGCTATTCAGACAGTACTCTCGATATGACAATCTTTCTCACCTCCCCTTCCTTCCAAACATCTTGACAAATTTTGATTATGTGTGTGTGTGTGCAAATTGTTGTTCTACCACTTTGCATATTGAATACTGTTCACTGCGTAAGGCACCTTGCCCTGTGTGATTTTCTAAGAAATATACGTTTGTAATTGTAGATATATCTCTATTACTTCCTTGACTCAAATGAAGATGACTGGAGATTGTAAGGGTTTTATTTATGTTAGCAAAATTTAAATCACTGAGACCTTCTTAAAAGAAAAATATTCTTCAAGCACCTTTCAGACTTGAAATACATCATGCTTTTATGATGATTTAAACAGCGATTTAAAGCTTTCCTCTTAAAGAGTAAGTGAAAGTTGGGCTGGACTTCTTCAAATATTGTTGCAAATGATTTCAATGTATGACAAGTGTATGTTTTCTTTTACAACCTGCAAATTCAGAAACATGAAGGCTCAATGAATAAATTTCATAAAACGAAAAATCAATATGAAGGACATTTATATTATTTTTCAACTACTAATACGTAGCAATACATGTTTTTTTAATTAGAGCTAAGTATTCATCAATTCTAGAAATGAAGCAATGTCACATAAAAATGTACAAATTCTGTACACAATTACAGTATACGTGATAAATCTTCTAAATGTAGAATTCCTAATCTTATTCTTACAATTATAGCACGAATTTAACTTAAGAAGCAAAATTGTACATTTGTATGCAAAGAAAACACTCCTTAAAAGTGATAATTTAAAAAAAAAGTTTTTACACAGCACTACAACCCTGTACAAGAAACTGAATATCCATATGCAACGTTATCACACATTTTATTGTATACTTTCCATTAAAAAGATTCCTACATTATACAAATATTGGGGATTGACTCATATAAATTTTATTACTATAAAATATTACTCAAAATAATTCAGCTTGAGTTCTTATTTTTTTGTTTTTGTTTTTTGTTTTCTATCAATAAAGAAAACAAAGCAATACTGCCCAAATACAAATTGAGAAGGAAGTCATTGAGCAACACGTATGAAGCACATTCGAAAAATCAGTATTTCAGGTGTCTGCTTACTATTTTATGTGGCTTCATAACAGTAATAATTGAAACCTTAGTATTCTCCTGGATGTATTACATATTTCTGGTGTTTTGGGAATAAAAACCAATTAATACTATTTAGTTTCTTATAATTTGACAGTTCTATTATTTTAAATGTGAGAAAGTTTATTTTATGGCTATGTTATATAGCTGATGTGAAACAAATGAGTATATTATTAAAAACTGCATGAAATTTTTGTCATATGATTTGTTTCTTACAGTTATTATGTAACTTGCTCAAAAATCCATCAACGGTATATCATATAAAGGTTGTCATACTAAAAGGGACAAGCTTATGTAAATATTATGTTGCACATTACGTATGCCATCAAACTTACATTCAGACAAGTCAAATTAGAAAGATGTTAGATCTAAAGACCCTGTAACACAATTTAATAATTGAATTCTTATAAAGAGATTCTCTAAGTGTAAGGAAATAGTAGAAATGTGAAAAACATTTTTTGAAAGAAAGATTTATCAGCTGCCTTCAGAATCAAGAATTGCCAAATGAGTTATCTCCGAAAGAGTGACTGATGAATTATACTGTCATAGCCTTTAGTGACTTAAACATTGAAACTGGGTATTCAGTATCTACATCTCTCTTTCCAACAACAATTCATCCTTCTTGGACCATATCATGTCGATATTACAGAAACTTCAGTAACATGCAAACACCTACATCAAAGTGAAGCACAGTGGCTTAATTCCTATTCTCTTTAAAGTGGAACATAAACTGAAAAACAATCAAAATTTTCAGCTGCACTTCTAGTACATGTTGTACATCATCACTGAAGATTTATCTGTGATGAGTAACTGCTTTTTCTTCTAAACTAATTTGTGGTGCAATTCATAGATCTTTCACAGTAAAATATCCTACAGACTGGTCCCCAGAACAGACTCAAGTTCTCCTTTGGTATTGCTCATAGTACATTTTCACTGTACATTACAAGCATTTAACTGTCCACTGTATGAATGTTTACACAGAGTAAAAGCACAAGGAGAAGGGGGGGGGGGGAGTGAAAGGTTCAAATTTTTAATGCGTGTCAATTTGTAATACTCACATTATTTATCGTGGCAAGTGTTAAACTTGCTTTTAATGTATGTGGTAGCATAGTGTTGTTTTACAATTCAAATATTTTGAATAGGAATAGTTGTTACCACACATTTTCAATGTGCAAAATAAAGAAATTATAAAATATTGTGTTTCATTGATTAAGGTTGATTTAGAGTAGACAAGCAAAATCACTACAATACAAGGTGTTTTATGAAACAACAAAAATATAGAAAAAAGTCTGGGAGGCACTTCAATATTTTTGTAAACTTGATCTTATATTAGGACATGTATGAAGTGAAAATCATTTTGGTGTAATGGACTACGTTTTTATACAGACACAAAGCTATTGTATACCAAGTACATGTTTACAATTATTGTTTGCATTTTCAATATATCATCAAATATGAGGGAAAATGTTTTAAAAGAAAAGCTTTCACAATTTGAATCAATGCATTCACTTGAATACTGCCTTCTCAGAGAACAATAAACAAATCTAATTATCAATTGAAAGGTGAAAAGACAACACAAAAAATATTCAAATAAGAGAAAGAGAAAATTAGCCCTGAGGATTTGACGTTTAGTGGAGGTACAGCATACAGCACAATATAACACTGGAAACCTTTCAAGATCTCATTATACATCTCATATAAAAGTACATGGTAAATTTCTGTGTAAAACATTTAAAACATTACTTCTTTCACTTTCTCTGAAGATAAATTCATTAAAAATCATACTCAGTCTTATGAAAGAAATGGGAATGCCAACTAGCAGTTGGAATTAGTTAATTTGTTCTTGTGGCTTCTCTTTGCGAACAAGCTCCGGTGAAGGCTGCGCATGCAGGGGTTGGGGAATGGGCAATACTGGTTTTCGTAAGATCTGAGGTTTGACTTTAACTTGTGGTTTGAATGACGACACTGCACCAGTTTGAAGAGGCAGTACAGGAACCCCTGTTGCATGACCAAATTTCGAAGGAAATTTAGGAGTGGTTCGCTGGGGCCCAGGACTACGTATTGGAACTAATTCTGACTCGGGAGGTACAGACTTTTGAGTTGATTTGATGACATCAATGGAGGGCTTTGTTATCTCGTTGTCATCACTTTGCTGAACATTTGCATCGGATGGAATAGAACTATCGTTGTTTACACCACTTTCTGAAGTCACAAATTTGGTACGCTTGGTACCGGCTTTGGTAGTTTGAGTCTGTGCATCAATGGAAACACTTTGTGAAGCTTTAGTGTTCTTTTTCAATGTACACTGATTTTGTTTGGCAAAGCGTTCTGCAGCAGTGGTCATATCAGGACTCTCTGGTCCTGTTGTAGGACTTGCTACAGTATCTGAAACAGTGGTTTCATCTTCCCCAGAAGATGAAGAAGAGGAGAGAGAAGAGAGAGAGGCTGCAGATAAGGATTTCTTTCCACCTCCGCTATCTTTAGGACTAGATGAACTAAGCACTGGCAGATCCATTACCAAATCAGGAGTGTGTTTCTGTCGCATTTCCCAAAATTCTTGGTTGGATCGAAAACTTTTAACACTTGTTTTCACCGGCTCTGATTGCCCCAAGGAAGCAGCTCGTCTCTGCCAAAGCTCACGGTTTTGATTAAAACTAACATTGTCTCTACCTTCTTCATCGATATTAGTTCCTTCCCCACCAATATTTCCGCCACTTCCTCCTCTATCTTCTCCCTCATCTGATGTGGTATTAGGAACTGCTGATCCTGAACTTCCTGACACTGATCCAGGAATGGATTCATTTATTTCCTGTCCATCCCAAAGTTTTCTTTCAAAGGAGACTTCAGTGTCCTTTCCTTCTTCATCTTGACTTGCTGGAATTTCACATTCACTGGAACTGCTCACAGGAGTATCAGGGCGAGAACTTTCCTTGGATCCCCCACCAGATGGTAAAGAATCCAGGAATACTGACAATCTGTCTTCTTCTTCTGCTTCTCTGTTGCACTCTGATGGGCCTTCTGGATCAACGTGCATGGGAGCAGCAGCAAGCAATTGTGCAGAATTTAGAGCCGACTCTACAGCTCCAAGTTTTCCGCCAGAAAGATTACGAGAATGAGTTGACGTTTCTTCTGTTTTATTACCAGCTAGTAAGTCACTACTGCCATGTAGATGTTTGTTCTTAATAGACAAACGAGGAGAAGTTGATACATCGCTCTGCAAAAATGAAATGCAACAAATACAAATAATGTTAGTTGCTCATTGCATCATACATACATACATACACACCTACACATCAATTACCCAGCTTCTTATCTATCACATTTTATTGAAAATTTGTGTCAAAACTTAAAAGACATTCTCCTGTGAATATTAAAGCATACTTGTAAAGTGAACTAGTAAGAATTTTCATTTGTAAATATGAATTCTAAGAAGAAAATTGTATTTTTCAATTAAAGCCCTTCAGTATTTTTCTTAAAATAACAGATTCAAACTGTTTCACTCACGCACACATTCGTTCTTCATGAACTCACCTTACATCTTTTGTATGGTACTGATGAGATCAAGTGAAACATTCTCCTACACTACAAATGCAATATTTTTACTACATCCAAGAGCAGTTTTCAAAGTAAAGATGAAACATCTACTTCCAAAGTTAATTTAATAAAAAGTCAACAACAAAAAACTCCAACCTGAAATGATTTTTGCCCTTGAACAAGAAAAAGGTAGTTGAATTCCTGAGATAAAACTCTCATTTTCTCTACTTTTCTTCATTGAAAATTATTTTAATTACCCATTACTTGATTAAAATTTTCAAAACTTTATTCTCCAAATACAAAATTCCTCTAACCCTGAAATATCTGATTTACAAAAACTTGATTTCTTTTTAACTGAACGTGGATTTTTTCCAATCAATAAATTTGCAAAAGAAAGAAAAACAAAGATCATGTCATTTTTCCCGCATGCCCATAAGTCAACAAAAGAATACATATGAGGAAAAGAAAATACTTTTATCTTTAAATAAAGCCAACACAAAAAAATAAACTTATACAAAATACAGCATTATTATTTATAACAAAACAATATACAAATGAAGTTACTATAAAATAAAATGTTCAGACATAATAAATGCATAACATTTTGACTAAAAAGGTATACTTCTCTAAACATAGAACATCCAGGAAATAATTCAGTATAAAATAAATATTTACAAAAAAATAAGAAATAAAGTTATGAGATACTATATGTACACCGAAGTAAAACTAAACACACACATCTGCAAACAAAACACACAAACAAAATACAATAGCAGAATATGTAAAATAATGTAATACAATGCAGACACTTTCACAAATTTATAACAAATTCTGAGATCATTTACTGTTTGTGCATGTGAATGGCTCAATCAGCAGGTGTATCCAAACTCTCACATCTCTTCTCACATATGCATGCTTCACTTGAAAGAATTTCACTTCCATTCTGTTCCAGTTTAACACATACAAAGTCTCTCATATCATTGAAGTCTTTGCTTGCACATTTATGAAATCAAACATGAAGCAAAACATGTAAACATCTTCCTCACCTTGATCTTCCTTTCACATAAAATGCAGAGTAAGCAAATTGATTCACTGTTGTGAAGTAATCTATTATCTAGCATGCACTTCTTTGCAGCTGACAATATCTGTCAATGAACTGTCATTTTCAAAATACCAATAACAGCCATGCCATTCGCAAGAAATACATCTCTTAATTAAAATATTTAAAAAGTGTAGAACTTAACCATGCCTCCATTGCAATGTCAAAGATTCATGGGAACCAATGAACATAACCAAAGTCTATAAACATTATCAAAACTAAACAAGCAAACAGAGGAACCAAACATTACAGAGCAGTGTGCTCTTAAAACACTGCTTTGCCACTCATGGGATGAAACTATTCAAACAATTACAACCAATTGTAAGGGGATATGATGTTTAGATTCTCCATTGGGTGTAAATAGTGAAGACTTATTAATGTTCATTAAATTAGTTCATTAGTGCTCATGAATTTCAGACAAAGCTATAAACAATCATATAGACAATCCAATAATAAAGTGAAAAAATTGAAATGTTTGGCTGGTCAAATTAATAATATGTGACTTAAGTTTAAAGAGCTTATTTGACAAACAACTTTGTCCCTTTGAAGCTCAATATCTCTGATTGAGATAAATAAGAGAATGTTTGAATCAAAGACCACAACATTAACGTATAATAAATCCAAGAAAAAGTTATTTTGCATATATAATGTGTCTCACACTTTCTTCTTGCTCTCACAAAGAATGCATAGTTTTAATCTTAGACTCAATAATCTTCACCAATTTCTTTAGACTGCATTTTATCATAAACGATGTGAAAAATATGGAGTTGATAAAATGATATTGTTGCATTCATGAATGTACAATTACATGAAACTAAAAAATAATGAAAATTATGCCTTCATTCATTAGTAAATGAACTTGACAAGACTTGGAAATGAAATATAGAGATTATTGTAATTAAATGATCATCAAGAAAAACTGAAAATGAGGGCACTTGACCAGCCTAGAAATAACGATAAACAAACTTGATAAAATTTAGAATAGTGACACAAAGGGTCAGTCAAGAAAAACACTGGAAGGACAAAATAATCTAAAGAAATAAATGGTGGCATGTGGCATTTTACAGAATTGAAAGCAATCTCTCATAAAATAATAAATGGGAGCAGCAATCCAAAATTTTAATTTCATCCCAGGCTTGACGAAGTTCTTTTCAGAGCACACTAATTACACAGTTGTCTCTAATACCTCTTGTGTTGGAACGCTGATTAGTGGAGAAGAGTCATTAATAATACTTCTGCGAGTTAGTTCAGGATCTGGCCAGGTTGCTGAAGACACTCCAGCCATGGGAGAATTATGAGTGGATGATGAAGTTCCAGATAAAACGGAATCATTAGAACTTGATGCTCGTCTCCTCATTGACTCTTCAGAAGAGCTGGACTTAAGAAGCTCTATTTTCTCACGATCTTCATCTCTGTAATATTAACCCAATGGTTTATATAACCCCAAAGAGGTTTCATTTCATTGTTAATTAATAGTTAAATTTCAATATGAAATGATTTAAAATAATTACTAATAAAATTCCAATTAATTTTGTTACTTAATGAAAACTGCAATACTCACTTCATTTTTAGAAGAATATATTTGTCTGGAATAAGTCCTTCGACACCATTCACACTTCCACGCCACCAGTCATTTGAAACTTGAGTGAATAAAACTATATTATCCCCTTTTTTGAAACTTAGTTCTCTTTCAGAACGTGCCATAAAATCAAATTGAGCTGTTGCTTCCAAACATTCTGATTCTATATTAAAAGAAAATAAAAAGCATAGAATAAAAGTTCAGTGAAATTTTAAATTTATAAATTTTCAAAAAATTCTATCCATTGTGAAAACTTACCATCTTCTGAGGGATACACTTCAGAATCCATGTCATCTTGTACATGGTCAGATGGTGAATCACCAACATCACTGCAACATAGTCACATTTCACTCAGTCATACATAGGGTCACATAAATAGTTTGAAATCAGAAACAAGTAGAGCATTATAGTTTAAAAACAAGTACATATTGCCATTGTTAGCTAAAGAAAATCATTCATACTTTTCATCAGGCTCTCGACTGATGTACTTTTCATACAAAACTCCCCCATTAACAGGAAATATCTCTTCATTGAACAATATAATATTTTTGATTAAGTCATTGACTTGATTTTGGTATTGAACTTGATCTTTGTCTTCAGGAACAGGAACCAGTGTGGGGCCAAAACAGATAGCCAAATTATAAGGGTCCATCATATTTTCATCACTGAATTCAGACAAACTGCAAAGAAACAAATATTGAATGAGAAATACAAGATAATTAGGTCCAATACAAAGTAAATTCTAAAATTGCATCTTTTTCATCAGACTAGGCTGTGGTTGAAGATGGAATGTATTTTAAATTGGCAAAAGCTACCACACACAGTGAGATTAGTTAAATTGAATACTATTTTCCATTATGACTTGTGTACTAAACAAAAGTTTTATTACAAGTTAAAAAGTCGTTAGCTTCAAAATTAATCTAAGCGATAGATACTGCAAGATGTTTTCAAAGACAATAAAACACAACTAATCAAATACTTACTGGTTTAGAAAGGCAAACAGGTATCTCATTACAATAACAACAGACCTTGGAAGACTTTGGACTAGCTCCTTCATCTTGTTCACAAATTCATGTTTGTGTTCAAGTTCTAAAATCACATACAACACTAAAATTAATTTGTTTTTCTTCTCATATATGAAAACAAAACTGAAGTTCAAAATAGAGATAAAAAATTTTTATAATTACGGGCTAATTCCATGAACTGCTCAAAGTAAATTATCGGAAACAATGGTTCCCTCAGTTCTCTCAAATAAAGTTTCAAAACTCCAGCAACCGAGTTAATATCAGATGCATCAGTCACATCTGCTAGGGGATCCTCTCCCCGTTCAAATGCTTCTCTGAAATTGTTAATTTCAACTTGCGAACCAGATACTCTGAAAATGCCTTGGTGATGAAGACCTGCAACAAAAAATCATAGTACAATCATACCTTCAGAAAATAAATTTGTCTTCAAAAATTTGAGAATAAAGTGTTTTATATTACTATAACACAAAAAGGATGGAACATACCATACAGATTAATAACTCTAATACAGCTTTTCATTATCAAAGGGATCTCTTGATTGGTTGTTTCTAAATATTCTTCCAAGCTTCCTCCAAACAATTTAGGTTGGCCATTCTTTTGCAAACGACCTATTCTCTTGCGCCTTGGCGGCTTATTTGCTTGGCCACTACACTGCTGGAGGCCTTTTAGAGATGTTGGAGAATCACCAGCTGCTTCCAGCAACGTTTGCCGAATGTGTTCATATTTTGAATCTAATCTTGCTATTCGGCTAGTACCAAGAATGTATTCACGAAATTTCTGAAAATGAATTATTATTTTTAAGCATTATTCATTACCTGTACAGTTTGAAAATATTTGTATAAATATTTTTTATAAGCATTTCATTCCTTTTCAGGAAAGAGTTCTCTCTTTTAAACATCACGATTCCAAAAGATGTGAATAATTACGAAAGGTTTTACGCAATGTAAACTGCAATAGCAATGAATGTTCAACAGTATCCTTAATTGTTATAACGATAAAGAGCAATAATTTTATTTGGATCTACATTCTTAAGTTATCTAATCTAATCCTTCATTTCAATATCCACTGTATTGAAATTTTCATTAAATAATTAATAAATGAATTTTACTCATTGTAAGAAAAATAACTCCCGTGGTTCTAGGTCGATAAGCTGATGATTACATTCATTAACATAAAGAGAACAAATATAAAACTGCCAATAGAACTTACAGTAAGATAAAATTCTTCAGTTTCTTGACGATCGGCACGCAATTTAATTGACACTGTTTCTGGTGGTTTATGAGCAGGAATGGCTCCCTCCCCAAAATATCCACTGCAGTCATAATCTCTGGCATTGAGCATATCTAACAGAGTTGTCTCTGCTGTTTCCAAAGTTTTCCATACTTCCTCTGATTCAGCACGCAGTGAAGTCACACGATTTTGCAACTGAAGTAGCCTATTTTCAAGTTCATCTCTCAAATTTTTCTGTAATTCTGTGTCCAGACCCTGAGAAAAGGGAACATCCTGTAGTTACCAAAAAAAAAAAAAAATCTCTCGCTCTTCTTCTCTCTACTTCCTCTCTCTTCTCTCTCCTCTCTTCCCTCTTTTCTTCTTCTCATCTCTCTCCTTTTCTACTTCTATCTTCTAATCCTTCCTCTATCTCTCCTCTCATCTCCTAGACATCCCTTAACTACCTCCTACTACTATACTAATGTCCCTCTCCTCTTCCTCTCACAACTCACTTGCCTTCTCCTCTATCTCTCTCTCCTCACTCCTCTACTTCTCTCCCTCTTCCTCTCTCTTCTCCTTCTCTCCTCTCTCTCCTCTCCTCTCCTACTACTTCCTCTCACTCTCTCTCTCCTTCTTCTTTCTCTCCTCCCCTCTCTCTCTTCTCCTACTCCTCTCTCTCTCTCCTCTCCTCTTCTCTCCCAACTCCTCTCTCTTCCTTCTTCCTCTCTCCTCTCCTCTCCTCTCTCTCTCTCTTCCTCTCCTCTCTCAACTCCTCTCCTTCCTCTCCTCTCCTCTCTCTCTCTCTCTCTAGTCACGTTACACACAGTCGCGCCGACGTTTTTCTCAACAAGCTAATTGAAAGTATTTAAACCTTTAAAGAATTATAGAAAGCATATAATTGATGGCCATCTGGACAAATGACCAGTTTACCTCATGAGAAGAATTGCACAAGAAGCACAGCAATACGTTACTTATACATCACACTTACATTGAAATCAGAAAAAATTCATTACAATACTTTTTGGAGATGGTTTAGAGTTGCGTCTATATAACCTCTGCCAAATTATGAACATTTAATTAAGGAATATTTTTGCATAGACGGAAGTACACAATGCGCATTTGCTCCTATCGTTTTAATGCAACTCTTATGATTGCACAGTGTTCTTCACGTCCACGAAACTGACGCATTCAATATGATTTTATATATATCTCTATCATTTACACTCTGCTTGCCACCATTTATAGGGCGCACTGGCTGACACTACCATACAGGAGCAAATATCTTGTGAGTTAACTCATCTACTTCTAAAACCTTTCCTTGACTAAATGTTTATTGGCACAAGAGTGCATCATTCAACACGTCTCCGCCTTCAAGTTATTGTAACTATTATTCGAATGCACTTGTATTTTTTAAGAAGAGAAGAACCTAAAATTATTTGAGTTAACTATAGCTTGTTTTATTCTGCACCTAGTTATAGGACAACATCTGTTTCTACATACACCAGACCATCTTCTCAAAGCTATTGGAAAATTACGGCTAGGAAATCGTATTTGCTACTGCGAAACATCACCCAAAGCCGGAACTATCAGCTACAATTCCATTAAAACGCACAATGGTCGATAGGCTAAATTAGAATTCTACCTATTAAAGTCTTCAATATAATACTGAAATAAATATAAGAATAATGTATCAATTATCAGCAAAATCTGAATAAAATTATTTCAGTCTTTAGTAATCACGCTCTCTTGATATCTGTTGCGAATGTGCGATGCCTTCAACGCCATTACATATTACCCCCACATGTATTCGTATTCGGGGCAAACGACGGGACGAGCCGTCTTCGCCGGAATTCCCGATAATATGTGGAATGTGTTGCTTGCTATGTGTGTCGAATGCGGACAACATACGGTCCTCGCCAGGAGACGCCTTATGTACTACCTATCCTCTTATTTGTATAACTCACCAATATAGGAAAGTCAACAACCAACAAATATTATAAACTGAAGAGATTATATAATACAATTTAATATTTTTTTAATTGATCAACGTATAATCCTTTCACTGCTGTAACACCTAAGGGACACGATCTTCAAATAATAGCTTCAAAATTAAAGTGAAAGTGCGCTGCGGACGCAGCGGCGTGCACTATCGCCGACGTGCCGCCTCGCCGCCCCGCCCCCGCCCCTGCCCCGCCCCCCCCGCCCCGCTCCCGCCCCGCCCGCCCCCGCCCCGCCCACGGAGAAACACGCCGCTTGCGGCAAGGGGGGTACGGAAATTGACAAGTTGAGTGAAAAAACACTTTCCCTTATGCATCAGCAAATTCTTCAATACATCCTACTGGGCAGGTGACTCAGGGCATTTCACGAAGGTTTCTATCTCTATACCTCTGCGGGACGTTATATGTTCAGTTGGCAGAGATATTTTACATACATCTAGCAAGACAGCCTGCCGAGTGAGCTCGCTGGCTGGAGGTGTGATTCTATCTATCTCTCTCTGTCTACGTACGATATTCCGCGTCGTTCTTCCCGAAAACCACCAGGCTAAGCTCAGGTTTTGCTGTAGTTATCCTCTAATAGAACGGAACGCATGGGTCCGCCGCGGGCGATATTTCCTTCCCCTTTTTCTTCGTCTTACCGCACCCTTACTTACACAATACCGGATGGGAGATTATCTCGTTTCGGGAAACCCCATGCATAAGCCGATTCTTTCTGTAGGACTTCCATATATGTCTGGAAATCAACAGAACACCTAGATTAAGGTATTGATTGTAATCTTGGCGGGACGATTTAATGATACGAATTTCTACCAACAGGCATCCCGTCAATCTCGAAACCCTAACCTTCTGATGAACGAATAGATTTCGCAACTTGGAGTGAAATGCATATTATGATTTCCTAATAAGATAAATGTTTAGTTTTAAGACTTCCTCTCTATTTCAAGTGCATCCATCAAGTTGTAACACATTATAATTATACAAACGGCGATTTTTTGATTCGTTTACTTGCATGCCAACTGCGAGTGGGCGTTCTCTCTTGTGCCTTATTGCCAACTCAGCAGCGCAGTGGCGTACGCGAAGCGCGGTTGGTGTGGGTTGATGAGGGGGTGCGCTCATTTCAATGGAATCTGGGGTGGAGTTATTCTACATATTGTTGGTGTGTTGAGTGCTATACTCATCTAGACGTAGGCGATTTATACTATCTTCTTGCACTGGCAGTGCCGCAGGACGTTGCTTCTTTCCCACTCCACTTAACGAGAATGATACGGAGTCTATATAGGGTTGAATCGATGGATTTGCTGAGTTACATTGTAAATCTGGGTTATTTGAGTAATCCAACCACGCACAGCAATCGTATACACACACGCCCTGAGTCAGCACCTGGTCCGAAACCTGTGCCCAGCCGGCAACAATAATATGGAATTAGTCGTAGTAGAGAAGTTGGATATGAGATCTCCCCTCTGAGTGCGAGGCGCAAAGAGACTAGATCCCTCGCTGCTCGTTTCCACTCCCTTCCGGAGTCCACCTTTCTCATTCACTTAATACATTTTATGCAATAAAGACGTGATTAAACATCAAATTCGTGTAATAACTAATGCTGCTTGAACCATCGTTATTTACTATTCCATTCATCAGGTTATCGTAGCGATTCCTGTTTCGTTCCAAATAAACGACTAAAGTGCCGCCGGAATTTCCTAGCGATATAAGCGTTAATCAGCTTGGGTCAGTTTACAGGTGTAATACTTCTGATAAAAGAAAAGCCCAAATGTGCCGCTTATGTTCTTGCTCTCTCACTAAATTTCCTTGATCTGCATCACTTCGATCATTTCAGGGAATCGTGAACTTCGACGCCCAGAAAGCTCATTTTGGTGACTTGTATTTTCGTCTTTTAACCGCCATAACTACTGAGAATGTTTTAGTGAAGTTGATTAACAATGAATGCACCTAACACACAAGTAAAGAGTTCGGCTTCTCACCACGCGATGAGAAAAGCAAACTTTATGCATGGTATACGCAGCTTCTCGGACAAGTTTTGTAATCTTTTTTGTAACCTGAAAGCTAATTTCGTAGAGGTTCCCAAAATTTTCAACAATATTCACCTGCCTGGTTTTTTTATCGCTTTTCCCCCTGGTTTTATCTCATGAGCAAACAAGTTGGCCACCAGGCAATTGCCGGCGCAGTCTCTCAACAAACGGGCCTAAGGTCCGACGCATTTCCTTACATCTATTGTCTAACAACACCCTACCCACCCTAACGCTTGCATACACTTGCACTTACGCCACGTGGGGAGGCTACTCCGAGAGGTTAGCGCTCTACTGCTTCGCGGCTGAGGCGCTCCGACTGGCACAGAATCCCCCGCGAACCACACCCCACCCCTCCCGGATAGAAACTTCACTCAGCTACACACTTAGTATTTATCATGTAAGTACCCCAGTTTTAATAAATGTGCGTCTTAATAGGCTTATTATATTTAATAACTGTTATAATTTTTAACCTTCTTTCCCATATCTTTGTCTGTAAAAGAATTGATCGGACGATGGAAGAGACACCGCTTGAAGGGTGTCTGTGGTTTTATAAATATCGTACTTGTTGTGTGAAAAACTTGTGCGTCTTTTTAAAATGACAATTAATGCCTCTACCAAAAAGCGAGCATGAAAATATTTTATGAAACGAATATACAAAGAATTATTAGTGAAAAAATATTAAATTATTGATTAAAATTGCGTCTTAGAAAGTAATTCGTTTATACAATTAAAGCACAGATATCGTCATTATCACAAGAATTGATCTATAAAGTTATTCAATGAATTAAGTAAATGAGATTTTGTGTGTGTCCACTGACTTATCCTTGTTTATATAAACTTTATAGATTTTTATATATGTTTATATAAACATTTCTTAAGTGCTCTATTTTAGTAATAAAAAATAAAACTAATGACACGGAGCTATATTAACTTCCACTTGGCGAAAACATTTAATGTACAGGAGAAGTATACGTATGTACTTTCTCTCCGTTATAGCGAAGTTGCATTTGTCGCCTGTCCCCACTCTGGCCCCCTCCCTGCGAGACAACGAGGTGAGAGGCGGGCTGTCGAAACAACTATTTCGGCGTGAGCGTTGCTTCGGCTGTGCCAGATATCCGCCTGCAGCATGGCGAGCTTTAACTTGCGATCCTCGACCTGCGCATGAGTCGCAGGGCGCGCGGCCGAGCTGCAGAACTACTCGGCCGCACGCGCGAAGGGACTCGAACTATTCAGTCAAGAAACCATCGACAACTGGCCAAGAGCCTGCAGCTGCGCACAAGTAGCAGAAGCAGTAATAAGCCAGGCTCGTGATAAAAAATAATAAATCAGATACGGAATTTAGAAAAAATATTTAAGAAATCCTCTATCAATGTGAGCCAGAATCAGGCTTGGGGGCCATCAATACCCAAAAAAATGAATGACGGTCAAAACTAGTCTTGAACACACTAGCACAACCACGTTGTGACCCAATCTGTCAAAAATTTGATATTTCCCGCTCCACTACGATCTGATGACTGATGCCGTAGGCTCCTTGTATTTGAAAACTCGAATATTGTTATTTTTGACATAGGTGTACTTAACATTGAAGCCCTCTGCGGACATTTTCCAAAATTTCATAAAACGGTCCTACGTTTGAATTAAATTTTGTATTGGATTAGTAATTTGTGACTGACGTTTGAGAAGCAAAGTTGCATCTATGTTGTTGAACGCTTTTTTCGAAAGTGCAAAGGTTCCTAAACGTTTTTCAACTTTCCTACAAACTAAAATATTAAAGATAGAGATTCCCCCTATAATACAATCTGTTATCTAAAGATAGAATTGAAATAAATCATGTACGATTTTTCGAAAACGTGAGATTACTGTTCACGTAATATTTGCCCTTCAAAATAAAGTGAGAAAAAAGCACTTCTCTTTTTGCACCATCAATATGGATTACCGCCATTTGTAGGACATTCAAGCTATTGAATTAGATGATTCTAGTTGATTATTTTCATATTCGTTAAGCATCACTGCAATTATTTTCCATAATCTCCATAAGAAACTAATTAGACATTATCCTCAAAATTAAGTAGAGCCTAATAATAAGCAAGTTAGTGGGAGATTCCTTAGAGATTGAATAACGTTTGTATATATTGTATCCCGAAAAGTGATGATAACATTCTGTTATCACCTTGTCTGAACCCTGAAATAGTGTTGCACAGTTGTGCATACCCCAAAAATAATTTCATAATTGAAAATTCACACTGGAGCTTTGCACTCGTCGACCTCTCAAGAGGTAGGCTGCGGCGCCAACTGAACTGCAGTCTTCACAAAAACATTGACTTCTGTAGTGCTATTTTCTACTGCGAGAACAAGCAGAAACAAATTGTATTCCCATTTAAAGATAGTTATAAGCCAAAGGAAGAAGAACCAAAATAACAAATTACAACATCCATATAGAAAAAATGTCCAAGAATTAATCCTGGAACATATATAGTAGGATTGTTTAGTTATGAGAATGCTTCATTAATATAGTTTTGTGTCGTTGTGCTATTACTGGTGAAATGAATTTCTAGAAATTTCAATTCGTTCGAATATGATTACTTCTAGATATATTTAGTGGAATCTCACGGTGTATACTGAGTATTTCTGCTTCCTTTTTAACAAGAATTGTCTTGATTTACTAGATCAAGGATAATCACAATAGTTACCTAATACATTTTCTTTATGCTAATGTTTGTTCTTTAGTATCTTCTAATGAAGTATTCCTATTGCTGTGTTAAGTGACCTGTACAGAAATTGCTGTTAAGCTTGCTAGAACATGTTTTATTATTTTTTTTTTTAAATGTGGTGTTAGTAAATAAGTTAGCTTCTCATAATATTTTTGAAAGTATATAATAATGAAAATTTTGGATAATATAGTACTTGTAATTTTGTGTATTACCAGCAATAAAAATTAAACAAAATCATGTAATATACATTCATGTGATCTTGATTATAAAATCTTTTGAATTTTTTAACTGTGAACAATGGCTCTAATTTTCAATTATTCATTGCTGGCAACACTTCTCAACCAAACTCACAATCTTCAGCATAAGATCATAGCAGCTTGAGTGGAGGTTACTTCCACTCATCTGTCAGCAGACTGTCCCAAAGTTTTTGAATGATGTCCAAAGAATATACAGTGTAGGGAAGTTGTGGTAATAATATAGAGATGGAAATGAGGGAGAAAAGTATAAAATGGAGAAAAAATGAAAGCTAATAAGTATATTTAAACGTATATATATCAGAGTCAAAGTAAATTACACTTTCTTGAGAAACTTTCAATATCTCCTTACCTTCCAGTGCCTGAAGATGGATATAAAACACAATGATAGAAATTTTGAGGCTGTGTTGCATCTTGTAGTACACCTTACCATGAAACATACAGAGCTTACCAAGGAGAAGTTATATCAAGCAGAAAACAAAACTTGTAGGTAGCGTGAGTTCAGAACTTCCAAACTTGAACAAGAGTTATGCTTTCTGAGAAAAATTGACATCCAAGAATTATCAAATTCATTAAGTACCGTCTCATTGAACAAAAGAAGTTCAGACCAGTTTTCTCTTTTGTTTTTTAACGTTATCACTGATTTTTCTTATAAATTAGGACTTCTTTATATTATAAAAGAATTAATTAAGTCATTTTTAACAAATTATCAGCTGTGAAATAAATAGTATAATTGATTGCCAAATTGAATGCCCTGAAACTCTAATGAGTTACATTCTTAATTCTGTCTGATAGCATCAAAATACAACATTCATAATATTGTAGATGAATATCAGATTCTTATTGATGTAAGTGTTCCTAAATTTAAAAACTATCCAAGTAATTATGACAAACTCTATTAATATTAATCATTGATTCTTGTAAAATTCTGGAAATATGTTAACATATTCTTTTCTGAATTTCAGTTATGTTATTTTGAGTTTTCACAACTTTGTATATTCAAGGGCGATTATTGGTGCATGTATACTGCTGAAAGAAGGCCCAGCCAAATATCTTCAAGTTGTACTTGACCAAATTTACTTCATGTGTTCTATCTTTCACTTATTCTAGATCTTGACCTAACATATCGATTTTGTGAGAGTAACCACCACTGCTTTTATGATTCCCAAAAAAAGTTTGAATTTTCTATATGACAGAAAAAGATTAGTGTCTAAATTGGTTTAATAAGCTCTTTCTCTCTCCTTTTTTTTTTTTTTTTTTTATTTTTTTTTTCATA